ATCTCAGACACAGAGGATAAACTAGAAGGAATAGATTCATCCACCAAAGAAAATCATAAATTGAACAAATCCTTAACACAAAACATCCAAGAAATGTGGAACACTGTGAAAAGGCCAAACCTAAGAATAATAGGCATAGAGGAAGGTGAGGAAGCCAGTTCAAAGGTGCCGAAAACATATTCAACAAAATTATTGAGGAAAACTTTCCCAATCTGAAGATGGACATGACCATGAAAGTACAAGAACCATACAGAAAAAGAAATAGGCTTGACCAAAGAAAAAAGATCCCTGAACATATACTAACCAAAATACCTAGCATACAGAATAAAGAAAGAATATCAAGAGCAGCGAAGGAAAAAGGACAGTTAACATATAAAGGCAGACCTATCAAAATTACACCTGACTTCTCCATGGAAACCCTCAAGGCCAAAAGGTCCTGGATATATGTTCTACAAGTATTAAGAGAGCACGGATACCAGCCCAGACTACTGTACCCACCAAAACTATCAATCACTATAGATGGAGAAAACATATTTAATGACAATAACTTATTTTCCCAATACGTATCTACAATCCAGCCATATAGAAAGTATTGGAAGGAAAACTCCAACCCAAGGAAGGTAACTACGCCCACAAAAAATGTAGGCAACAGATAATCTAACTACACTAGAAACCAAGGGTAAAGCAGGACAAATATATTCACAATACCACTGCCAGCAACAAACCTACAACAAACAAGCTTCAGCAATCAAGGGTCCTTACTCACCCTCAACATTTATGGTCTTAACTCACCTATAAAAAGACACAGGCTAACAGAATGGATACGAAGACAGAATCCATCATTCTGCTTCATACAAAAAACACATCTAAGCTTCAAAGATAGACATTACCTCAGGGTAAAAGGTTGGGAAAAGATCTTCTATTCAAATGGATCCAAGAAGCAAGCATACATGGCTACTAAAACTCAAAGCTCACATAAAACCTCACACACTTATAGTGGGAGACTTCAATACACCACTCTCAACACTAGACAGGACCACAAATCAGAAACTCAACACAGAAACAAAAGAATTAACAGAAGTAATGTCTCAACTGGGGTTAACAGACATCTATAGAACATTCCATCCAAAGACAAAAGAATATACCTTCTTCTCTGCTCCACATGGAACCTTCTCTAAAATCGACCACATACTAGTTGACATAACAAGCCTCAAGAAATACAAGAGAATTGGAATAGTCCCCTGTATCTTATCAGACCACCATGCTTTAAAATTGGAATTCAACAACACGCAAATGGCAAAAAAAAAAAAAAAAAAAAAAAAAAAAAAACCTGCAAATTCATGGAAACTGAACAATGTGCAATTTCACCACACCTGGGTCAAAGAAGAAATAAAGAAATTAAGGACTTTCTAATAGTCATCAAGAATGAGGACACAACATACCCAAACTTATGGGACACCTTGAAAGCAGTGTTACAAGGGAAGTTCATTGCACAAAGTGCCCATATGAAAACATTTACATTTATGAAGAGCATTTACAGCACAACTGAAAGCCTTAGAACAAAAGAAGAGCAAACTCACCCCAAATGAGTAGATGCCAGGAAATTATCAACTTGAGGTCTGAAATCAACAAAATAGAAACCAGGAAAACAATACACAAAATAAATGCAACGAAGAGTAGTTTTTTTGAGAAAATTGACAAGATAGAATAACCTTTATCCAAACTAACGAAAAAGCAGAGAGACAACATGAAAATTAACAAAATCAGATATGAAAAAGGGAACATAACAACGGACACAGAGGAAATCCAGACAATTTTGAGGTCATACTTGGAAAATCTATATTCCACAAAAATTGAAAATTCAAAGGAAATGAACGAATTTTTGGATAACTTTCACTTATCAAAATTAAATCAAGAACAGACAAACAACTTAAATAAACCTATAACCCCCAATAAAATAGAAGCAGGCATTGAAAGCCTTCCAATCAAAAAAAGCCCAGGGACAGATGACTTCAGTGCAGAAATCCACCAGACATTCAAAGAACACCAATACTCCTCAAATTGTTCCACAAAATAGAAACATAAGGTTCACATCCAAACTCTTTTTATGAGGCCAACAATAACCTTGGTACCCAAGCCTCACAAAGACACAACTAAGAAAGAAAATTTCAGACCAATATCCCTGATGAACATCGATGCAAAAATACTCAATAAAATACTGGCAAACAGAATTCAAGAATACATCAGAGAAATCATCCACCATGACCAAGTAGGCTTCATACCTGGAATGCAGGGATGGTTTAACATACGAAAATCTATCAACATGATCCACCATACAAACAAACAGAAAAAGAAAAACCATATGATTATCTCCCTAGATGCGGACAAAGCCTTCGACAAAATTCAACATGATAAAGGTCTTGGAGAGGTCAGGGATAACAGGAACATACCTAAACATAATAAGAGCAATACACAGCAAACCAACTGCCAACATCAAACTGAATGGAGAGAAAGTTAAGCCAATTCCTCTAAAATCAGGAACAAGACAATGCTGCCCTCTCTCTCCATATCTCTTCAATATAGTGCTGGAAATTCTAACTAAAGCTGTAAGACAAAAAAAAAAAAAAAAAAAAAAAAAAAAAAAAAGGAGATCAATGGGATCCAAATTGGAAAGGAAGAAGTCAAACTGTCTCTAGTTTACATAAGCCACCCAATAACTCTACCAGGGGACTCCTACAGCTGGTAAACACCTTTAGCAAACTATTAGGATAAAAGATAAACTCAAAAATTCAGTAGCCCTACTTTTTTCAGACGTCAAATATGCGGAGAAAGAAATCAAAGAAACATCACCTTTTATAATAGCCACAAACAGCATAAAGTATCTGGTAATGCTTACCAAACAAGTAAAATACCTATATAATAAGAACTTTGTGGCTCTAAAGAAAGAAATTAAAAAAGATACCAGAAAATGGAAAGATCTCCCATGCTCTTGGATAGGTAGGATAAAAATAGTAAAAATGGCAATCTTAGCAAAAGCAATCTATAGATTCAGTGCAATCCCCATTAAAATCCCACCACAATTCTTCACTGACCTTGAAAGGATAATAATGAATTTTATATGAAAAAACAAAAGACCCAGGATAGCCAAAACAACCCTATACAATAAAAGAACTTCAGGAGGCATCACCATTCATGACTTTAAGCTCTACTACAGAGCTATAGTTCTGAAAACAGCCTGGTATTGGCATAAAAATAGACACGTAGACCAATGGAATCGAATTGAAATCCAGATATTAACCCATCCACCTATGAACACCTGATTTTCGACAAAACAGCTAAAATTATACAATGGGGCGAGGACAGCATCTTCAACAAATGGTTCTGGCACAATTGGATGAGGGTGTGTAGAAGACTGCAGATAGACCCATGTCTGTCGCCATGCACAAAACTCAAGTCCAAATGGATCAAAGACCTCAACATCCATTCAGCCACACTGAACCTCTTAGAAGAGAAAGTAGGAGGTACCCTTGAACAAATTGGAATAGGAGACTGCTTCCTGGACACATCCATGCAACAAAGACATCTGTTCATCTATGTTCATAGCAGCACTATTTGTGATAGCAAGAACCTGGAAGCAACCTAGATGTCTCTCAATTGAAGAATGGTTAATGAAGATGTGGCACATCTACACAATGGAATACTACTCTGCAGAAAAAAATAATGGTATCTTGAAATTCGCAAGCAAGTGGATGGCACTTGGAGAAACCATCATGAATGAGGTAACCCAGTCACAACAATAGGAACAGAGTATGTACTCACTCATATATGGATTTTAGACCTAGAGCAAAGGATCACCAGCCTATAATTCACTCCACCATTGGAACTAAGATACAAGGTGTATTCTTAGAGATTCATATAAAGTCCCTCACAGAAGTGGGAAGGGACAAGTCCCCCAGAGCACAGGGGAATTAGGTGGAGCAGTGAATGGAGAGAGAAGCAGGAGAAACAGAGGGGGAGGACAGAAAATCTCCTGTGACTAGGAAGATTGAGTCTGGGTAGGAATAGAAGACAGGAGAGTAAGAGAAAGAGAGACAGAGAGAGAGAGAGGAGAGAGAGAACATAAAAGCAGGAGACAATATTGAAGAGAATATTGAACCCAAAGGTCTAGAGACCTACAAGTCTGCTGTCAACTAACAATTTGAGCTGTAAAAAGGCTACCATAAATGCCCTTCCTGGATAGTAAGATCAACAATTATCTTTTCCATGGTGCCCTCATCTACTACCTTTTGGAAACAGAAGCAAACACCCATACCTAAACACGGAGTTGAAGTAGAACTCAGATGCAGAGGGAGAGGACAAGACCAGGCGGCAGAAACACATAGAAACAGCTGACCTGAACAAGGAGGAGCTAACGCCCCCCCCCCAACTGATAGCTGGGAGGCCAGCATGGGACTGACTCAGGCTCCCCTGACTATGGGTCTCAGTCAGAAGAACTGAGCAGTCTAAGGGACCTCAGACAGTGGAACCAGGATATATCCCTTGTGCACAAAAGGACCTAGCAAACACCTCCCCTTTGGAGGGATAACTGCCTTAACCTAGAGATAGGAGAGAAGTCCTAGTCCCTACTTCAAATGACTTGTCAGATCTACATGACCCCACCTGGATGGCATTACCCTACATGTGGAATTGGGGTGGGGGATGGGAGGGGAGGGTGTTTAGAGTGCATGTGAGAGAGCAGAGAGGGTAAAAGGGAGGGAAGGAGAGAGGGTAGGAGGGAGGAAGGGAGGGAGGGAGGAAGCGAGGAAGAGGGCACTGGGATCAACATGTAAAATAAAAAATAAAAATAAAAAGAGTTTGAAAACAATGACAGTTCTGGGAAGGGAATATTTATCATATGAAAAATAATGTTGGCTATAAAAATATCAATGTGTAGCATTATAATTGCACCCCAAGCAAATACCATCTGCAGAGTTCCTAAGATGGTATATCTTTCTTTTTACCTCTTTTGTTAGGTTGTACACTAAGCTGTGCATCAGTGGTGTGCAATCAACTCTTAGAGTGTAATTTCCTGAAATAGAAGAGATAATAAGGTTTAATTGTTTCTGTTATTTTATTCTAAGATGACTGCTAAACTTTATATAGAATAATCTGTTCAAACATGTACTTAATGAAAATTCCTTAATGCTTTCCACCTTAACTCTAAAATTCACCATCTTAAGCATTGGAATTAGGCATGAGGTGGAGAGACAGCAAAACTGATGGCCAACTCTCCAAATCTTCTCCTTCCACTCTATATAGATCCATTGCTTTAAGGACTTTGAATATCCTCTTATCTCAATCTGGATCAGCAGTCTACATTATATCTGAATGACTTCTTTACCCTTTGGGCTCATGTTACATTTTCTGAGTGATCTCTCTCACGCCTGAATGTGATACTGTGCAATGAATCCACCCCATACTAACTACTGTCTTAATCTCTTTCCTTTGGCCTATTTTTAACATCACTCCTGCAAATTTGACTGTCTTATGATTTCTTTCCTCTAAATGCACTGTTACAGAAGAGCCTGCACATATGTACCCACAATATGAGATTCCTTCCAGGAATGTAATGTATCTTTTATTCCCAAATTAAAGAATCTATGTCACTGAAGGTTGGGTGGTGCACACCTGCATTCCCAACATTAGGATGCTGAAGCATAAAGTTCATGAGCTCTATCTTGAAAAACTTAGAATAGATATATAAATAATGTAATATCAGATACACATATACATTTATATGAGAAAGACTTGGATGAAGGTGGTTTAAAGACAAGTATTACAATTTAAATACACTATTCCTGTTACTAAAGAATTATACTTGAAGTGAATTCACTTCAAACTTCATGTAGAAAAGTGAACGTACATTAGAGGACAATAGCTGCAATATCAGCTACAGAGCTGAAATGTAATTAATTATTCTATTGAATATATTGCAAAAGTACTTCCATCATTTTATTTTTGTTTCTTTTTGATGTTTTGGGAATTTTTGTGGCCATTGGATTTTAAGTGTAATAAGTCAATGTGTATTCTGTATAGGGAAGTATATATAATGTTTTCTGAGTAAAAAGCTGGATCTAGAACCAGTTAGGTGTTGTATTATGCCAAAATCTTGTAGGATATAACAGAAGGTAAAAACATAATATGTAGGATGGCTCTGAACTCAACCCTTCCCTTGCAGGTGACCTGTGGGAAAGGACTTGACTTTTCAGAGTCATGGCTTCCTCTTTGTACAGTAGAAGCAATATAAGTACTTATATTGCATGGTAGTTACATTTAATACAGATTGGATGGAAAGTGATTAAGAAAGCATCTAAATGACTTCTGGAACATGTGTCAGTTAAATAGTCTGAGAATCCACATAGCAGAAACACTGTTAACTGAAGGTGACAGTTCTTTTGGAAATGACAATAAGGTTGGTGTGTGTATTGCTCTTAAATTTCTGAAATTTTATAAACTTTATTATTTATAAAAAACAATGAAAACAAATAAAAACATTACTTTGTTGTTTTGTTTTGGGTATATGATTCAATTTAACATAAGTTCACAAATATGTGGTTTATTTTTATGTCTTTATAAATAAACATCTAACAAAAAAATGCAATAAAGTGAGTTATATGGTAGCTCAATTACACTCTACATACATGTAGTAGTTCCTAATCCTAAAAATTATGATCCAGTTCCAGTGGTATACAAAAATACTGGACAAGTAAAACATTTGATATTATCAATAATAATTGCAACATTTTGCATTATTTGAAATTTGTTTATTTGGAGCATTCTGTTAAGCACACATGTTAAATATAATCATATTTGTATTTGTATGTTTGCAATGTTGGGGATAACATGCAGGGCATGGAACATGTTAGGTAACCTCTCTGCCTCTGACCTACATACCTCCATCCCCCATGATCATATGATTTAAGTAAGAAAAGAATGATAATCACCACCTAAGCCCACACTGGTGATTTTTGAAAAGTCACTGTGTTCAAGTCATATATCATGGAGTTTACAAATACCAATTCATTTTAAAGTCATGAAAGTGCCTTTGCTTGCTCAACCATCTTTCTAGTCTCTGTATTTAAATGTCATACATACCATTCAAAAGAAAAAAAAAATTCTTCAAGTTCATGACTTAGGCATTAAACAGGTAATTGTAGCCATATTTAAGAGGATCTGATAGAGGAGGCAAAGTAAGGAATATTGTCTTCCTGGATAAGTACTGCAATAGAGGGAGGGGCACCTCTTAGTTACTCATGTAGTCAGTGAAGAGCTCAGCATATGAAAACTGTAAGCCTACGAATATTCTGGGGAAATTGGAGCAGACAACCACTTTAACCTTCTAATAATTGCATTTAGCCTTACTTACAGTGGACAGACTGGCAGCTACTGTGTGCAGAGGTAAACTTTTAATGGTTGCTTTCTGCCTTATAGCTAGGTGGTTAGTGTGAACAAAGGTTAGTTTCTAACAATTGTTTGCATGTAACTCGCTTAACCTGTAACTATTCTCTTATGTGACCTTCTGCCTTGCATTCTTTCAGGGAAGAAGAAAAGCAGTTATAGGCTTTTGCAAATACCTCAAGTTTGCACTGTATAATCAAAAGTTATAAATATTAAAATGTACTGTGACTTTAAGCTTACCATCCAGATTACAAGAGGTCTTTGACCCACACCTGATGGTTGATTTTTACTAAGAAGGGACTCAAAAACTGCTCCTATTGTCACAGTATCAGCAGGCCAAACTGTGATCTATGGCCCTGGGGATCTGGAATTCTCTTTTTGCTTATGGTTCATAGACCTTGGTGGTCTGTTCACATGCCACTGGGACCCAACAGTTAGGACTTGATCAAGGGAAGAGATATGAAAGCAGCCACAGGTCTCCTTACCTCACATTAATGGGCTTCATTTTTGCAGGGATGTTATCATTCTACTAAACTGTTACCTCTAGAGTAATCACCCATTCTCGATCGTGCCTGACTTTACTCACCTTCTATGGAAGAATCAGCATTAATGTAAGCCACTCCGCGTTCATGGAGGAGTCTGGAATGCTCCTATCACAAGATAAACATCTTTTTGTTAAGTTTATGCTTAATATAACTCCCACCCAAACCATATCTGCCTCCCTTGAATGCAGATATTTCAATGAAATTGGCTCATGTGTCCTACAAATTTGGCATATGAGTCTAAAAAGAAAGTTGGATTGAGAAAGTGTTGCAGTGGTTGCCAGTGAGAAACAAAAGCAATGTTTTCTAACCTACATTTGAAAAAATGAACTGCTCATACACAGTAGATGAAAAAGGAGTTGGGAGTTTGAACATCCAAACCTGTCTGTCATCATTTGTCTCAGTAAACATCAATTTAAGGGTCTTTGCAGCAAAAATATAATTTTAAAGATACTGTTATTAATTAAGCAGAGGTGATTTCCAAGATACACACACACACACACACACACACACACACACACACACACACACACACACACAAAGAGCAATTTCCAATTTACTAGTCAGAAAATTTACAAAGGAAATGTGGCCATAAAGCCAATATCTCTTGTACTATATTGCCACCTAATGGTAACTTTCACTGATTGTACGTTTTAAATATGCAAAACAAGAGGATTGTGGTGTTTCTGGGGCACTCTGGGCTTAATAAAGAGGCTGAAAACTAAGGAAACAATAACAACTCTATAGAATAAACAAATTGCCCTCTAAAATATTCATAAGTTTGCCTGGCTCCAGATTGAAACTTCCTTGTAGAGAAACACATCACCTTTATCAATTGGAATAGAGCAGGTTTTCAGAGAACCCTGAAATACCTATGTTTAACAGCTTTCACACGAGAACGCAGAACAGCAAGGGGAAGCTGACAGGTACATCTCTGTCACACCAAGCCAATTAATAATTCCGATGAAGTTATTGTTCAGGAGCCATGAAAAATTCTGTCTCACTGTATGAAGGAGACCATAGGTATAAAAGGATAAACGGAAACCAGGCCTTACTGTAGAACCTGGGGGTTTAATGTAAGTAGCACTTGCAGCTGTTTTGGGTGGTGTGGAAAAATCACATTAGAACACCCATGTTTTATTTGTAGTTGGTGTCCATTACACTGATTTATTTACTGTATGGCATTATCATAAAAAAGATAAATTAATTTCAAAGTTGACATTAGGTGTTTATCAAAAATCAAATAAAACTGGATACTTAAAATAATTTTGTTGATTTTTAAAAAAATATTGTAATGTATTGATTGATTTAGGGCTTTTATGCATACTATGAAAGCTATGACACATGTGTGGAAGACTGAGGACAGATTGCAGCTGTTTCTCTCCTCCTGCCATATGGGTCCCAAGAATTGGACTAAAATTCACTAGCTTAGCAGTAAGTGCCTTTACCAGCTGAGTCATCTTGTTGCACTCTTGTAGATTTTTGAACAATGAAGCAATCTTTTGTGATAATTACACATGCCCATTCTTGGCTTATGAGCCACATACAACCAAGTATAGGGAGGAATGAATCCCAACTCAAAATTGTAAATGTGCTTAAAACATTATGAGATGATCTTTCCTTTGGTTATTTGTAAAGAATACCTTGATTGTGTGATCCTTCAGAATGCATTTTGTCTACAGGAAATTATGTAGCTTTATCAAAAGGTTGAAGATACGTAAGCGACGTTTTAGAAAAATCTCTAACCATTACCTAACTGGACTCACTTGTTACTTTGTCCACAAAAGAAGTCCCAACTGCTTTGTCACTTGGAAAAAAATTATGCGGGAACAAATTGTCAACCTACCTCTGCCCACTCAGTAGAACCAAGAAGGCCAAATTCTTCAGCATCCCAGCTTGCAAACAGAATTGTTCTTCTAGGCCTCCATCCTAAAATGTATGTGAATATATATATTAGCATTTATATAAAAGTATAATATACACCCAGGACAAGGAGAAGTCTACAGGACGGGAAACCCAAAATGCCGATGTTGTTTGTCTGTTTGTTTGATTTTTTTTCCACTTAGAATATAGTAATGTTGCTCACATCCTTACTTATACAATTTCTGTTTCTATGTTTTAGAAATGGGTTTTGCTAAAACTCAAATAGTGCATGTGTATTGCAAAAGGAAGGGTGTAGAGAGTAAAATCCAAATGAAGTCATGAGATATTCTAAATAGTTTACAATTGTTCAGAGTAGGAAACCTCTCTGAGCTGCATATGCGTGACACAGAGGAAGAAACCATAGGTATAGTCAGTGCTGCAGTGCAGGGAGAACTGTGGGGAACTATGTAGATCCCTGCCAAGCTGTTCGTAAATAACATCTTCCATAATTAAGACCATCTGCTTCTGTGATATTTTTTCTCTCCCCTATTTGGTAAAATTGGTTATCAGTGGCTCACGTTGAGATAGCAATATCTTCTGATACTGAAAGCCATGCAATTTGATAAGTAGGTCTTATGGTATGGAGGTAATAAACACTGTCCTTGGAGATGAAGAACGCTATAAATTTTAAGCCCTGATTCACTCACTAGATGCAAGGAAGGCTGTTCCATACACACTGACTAAGCCTTCTTATTTTCATCTAAAAATCAGCATAGCAAAATAAAGACTTCAAACCAAAATTAGTCAAAAGAGATGAAGACGGTCATTTCATATTCATCGCAGGAGAAATCCATCAACACAAAGTCTCAGTTCTGAACATCTATGCCCCTAATACAAAGTCACCCACATTCGTAAAAGAAACACTACTAAAACTCAAAGCTCATATAAAACCTCACACACTTATAGTGGGAGACTTCAATACACCACTCTCAACAATAGACAGGACCCCAAATCAGAAACTCAACAAAAAAACAAAAGAATTAACAGAAGTTATGTCTCAACTGGGGTTAACAGACATCTATAGACAAAAGAATATACCTTCTTCTCTGCTCCACATGGAACCTTCTCTAAAATCGACCACATACTAGGTGACATAAGAAACCTCAACAGATACAAGAGAATAGGAATAGTCCCCTGTAACTTATTGGACCACCATGCTTTAAAATTGGAATTCAACAACAACACAAATAGCAGAAAACCTGCAAACTCATGGAAACTGAACAATGTGCAATTGCACCACTGCTGGGTCAAAGAAGAAATAAAGAAATTAAAGACTTTCTAATGTTCAACGAGAATGAGGATACAACATACCCGAACTTATGGGACACTTTGAAAGCAGTGCTACGAGGGAAGTTCAATGCACTAAGTGCCCATATGAAGAAAACAGAGGATAGTCACATAAGAGAATTAACAGCCCAACTGAAAACCTTAGAACAAAGAGAAGCTAATTCACCCCACAGGAGTAGACGCCAGGAAATAATCAACTTGCGGGCTGAAATCAACAAAATAGAAACCAGGAAAACAATACAAAAAATCAATGCAACAAAAAGATGGTTTTTTGAGAAAATCAACAAGATAGAAAAACTTTTACCCAAATTAACGAAAAAGCAGAGAAAGAACATGCAAATTAACAAAATCAGAAACGAAATGGGGAACATAACAACAGACGAAGAGGAAATCCAGACAATTTTCAGGTCATACTTTGAAAATCTATATTCCACAAAAATTGAAAATTCAAAGGAAATGGAAAAGTTTCTGGATAACTATCACTTACCAAAAGTAAATCAAGAACAGACAAACAACGTAAATAGACCTATAACCCGCAATAAAATAGAAGCAGTCATCGAAAGCCTTCCAACCAAAAAAGTCCAGGGCCAGATGGATTCAGCACAGAATTCTACCAGACATTCAAGAAAGAACTAATACCACTACTCCTCAAACTGTTCCACAAGATAGAAACAGAAGGTTCATTGCCAAACTCTTTTTATGAGGCCACAATAACTTTGGTACCCAAACCTCACAAAGACACGACTAAGAAAGAAAACAACAGACCAATATCCCTGATGAACATCAATGCAAAAATATTCAATAAAATACTGGCAAACAGAATTCAAGAATACATCAGAGAAATCATCCACCATGACCATGTAGGCTTCATACCTGGAATGCAGGGATGGTTTAACATATGAAAATCTATCAACATGATCCACCATACAAACAAACAGAAAAAGAAAAACCATATGATTATCTCCCTAGATGCGGACAAAGCCTTCGACAAAATTCAACATGGTAAAGGTCTTGGAGAGGTCAGGGATAACAGGAACATACCTAAACATAATAAGAGCAATACACAGCAAACCAACTGCCAACATCAAACTGAATTGAGAGAAAGTTAAGCCAATTCCTCTAAAATCAGGAACAAGACAATGCTGCCCTCTCTCTCCATGTCTCTTCAATATCATACTAGAAGTTCTAGCTAATGCTATAAGACAACAAAAGGAGATCAAGGGGATCCAAATTGGAAAGGAAGAAGTCAAACTGTCTCTATTTGCAGATGATATGATAGTTTACGTAAGTGACCCAATAAACTCTACCAGGGAACTCCTACAGCTTACAAACACCTTCAGCAAACTAGCAGGATACAAGATAAACTCAAAAAATCAGTAGCCCTACTTTTTTCAGACGACAAAGAAGCAGAGAAAGAAATCAGAGAAACATCACCCTTTACAATAGCCACAAGCAACATAAAGTATCTTGGTGTAACGCTTACCAAACAAGTAAAATACCTATATAATAAGAACTTTGTGGCTCTAAAAAAAGAAATTAAAGAAGATACCAGAAAATGGAAAGATCTCCCATGCCCTTGGTTAGGTAGGATTAACATAGAAAAATGGCAATCTTACCAAAAGCAATCTGCAGATTCAATGCAATCCCCATTAAAATCTCACCACAATTCTTCACTGAACTTGAAAGGATAATAATCAACTTTATATGGAAAAACAAAAGACCCAGGATAGCCAAAACAACCCTATACAATAAAAGAACTTCAGGAGGCATCGCCATTCATGACTTTAAGCTCTACTACAGAGCTATAGTTCTGTAAAAAGCCTGGTATTGGCATAAAAATAGACAGGTAGACCAATGGAATCTAATTGAAAATCCTGATATTAATTCATGCACCTATGAACACCTGATTTTCGACAAAACAGCTAAAATTATACAATGGGGCGAGGACAGCATCTTCAACAAATGGTGCTGGCACAATTGTATGAGGGTGTGTAGAAGACTGCAAATAGACCCATGTCTGTCGCCATGCACAAAACTCAAGTCCAAATGGATCAAAGACCTCAACATCAATCCAGCCACACTGAACCTCTTAGAAGAGAAAGTAGGAGGTACCCTTGAACAAATTGGTATACGAGACTGCTTCTTGAACATAACTCCAGGGGCACAGACACTGAAAGAAACAATTAATAAATGGGACCACTTCAAACTTAGAAGCTTCTTTAAGGCAAAGGACACACTTGACAAGACCAAACGGCAGCCCACAGACTGGGAAAAGATTTTCACCAACCCTATATCCGACAAAGGGCTGATCTCCAAAATACACAAAGAACTCAAGAAACTAGTCAACAAAACACCAAATAACCTTATTAAAAAATGGGGTACAGAACTAAAGAAAGAAATTCTCAATGGAGGAAATCAAAAAGGCTGAAAGACACCTACGAAAATGTTCCACATCCTTAGCTATCAGGGAAATGCAAATCAAAACAACTTTGAGATACCATCTTACCCCTGCCAGAATGGCTAAAATTAGAAACACCAGTGAGGACTTATGTTGGAGAGGATGTGGAGAAATGGGAACACTCCTCCACTTCTCGTGGGAGTGCAAACTCATACAGCCATTTTGGAGATCAGTATGGCAGTTCCTCAGGAAAATGGGAATTAATTTACCACAAGACCCGGCAATCCCCCTCTTAGGCATATACCCAAAGGATTCACATCCATGCAACAAAGACATCTGTTCAACTATGTTCATAGCAGCACTATTTGTAATAGCAAGAACCTGGAAGCAACCTAGATGCCCCTCAATTGAAGAATGGTTAATGAAGATATGGCACATCTACACAATGGAATACAACTCTGCAGAAAAAAATAATGATATCTTGAAATTCGCAGGAAAGTGGTTGGCACTTGAAGAAACCATCCTGAATGAAGTAACCCAGTCACAAAAAGAGGAACACAGTATGTACTCACTCACATATGGATTTTAGACCTAGATCAAATGATCACCAGCCTATAATTCACATCACCAGACGAACTAGGATACAAGGTGTATTCTAAGAGATTCATATAATGTCCCTCACAGAACTGGGAAGGGACAAGTCCCCCAGAGCTCAGGTGAAGTGGGGGAGGACAGCAAATGGAGAGAGAAGTAGGAGAAAATGAGAGGGAGGAGAGGAAAACCTGTGCGACCAGGAAGATTGAGCCTGGTTAGGAATAGAAGATAGGAAAAAGAGAGAGACAGAGAGAGAGAACATAAAAGAGGGAGCCAATATTGGTTTGAAGATAAAATTGAACACAAGAAAGGTCGAGAGAACTACAAGACTGCTCCCAACTAACAATCTCAGCTTCCGTGGAAAGGCTATCATAAATGCCCTTCCCGGAGAGTGAGATCAACAACTATCTTATCCATGGAGCACTCAACTAATGCCTGTTGAAAATAGGAGCAAACACCCATACATAAACACTGAGTCGAACTAGAACCCAGAAGCAGATGGAGAGGACAAGACAGAGACAGCTTACCTGAACAAGGAGCTAACAGCCACTAGACTGATAGCTGGGAAGCCAGCATGGGACGTACTCAGGCCCCCCTGAATATGGGTCTCAGCCAGAAGGACTGAGCAGTCTAAGAGACCTCAGACAGTGGAGTCAGGATGTATCCCTGGTGCACAAAAGGACTTTGGGAACATATCCCCCATGGAGGGATAACTGCCTTAATCTAGAGACAGGAGAGAAGCCCTAGTCCCTACTTCACAGGACCTGTCAGATCTACATGACCCCAACTGGATGGCATTCCCCTACATATGGAATTGGGGTGGGGGGATGGGAGGGGAGGGTGTTTAGAGTGCATGTGAGAGGGCAGAGAGGGTAAAAGGGAGGAAAGGAGGAAGGGAGGGCTGGGGGGAGGGAGGGAGGCAGGGAGAGGGAACTGGGATCGACATGTAAAATTATAAATTAAATTAAAAAAATGCTTTGACTCCAAAATTTAAGTTGAAGGACAAGTTACTGGGGAAAAGGATTTCTATTTTTGTTTCCACAGAAAATGAAAAGATGTGGATTCCTTCCAGACTAATATGGTTTGATCATGCCAGACCGCCTGAAACAGAGTACAAGCTGATCCTACATTCAAAACAGCTGGACAAAACAGCCCTACAGACTACAGCCAGGATATCTGAATCTTCTTCAAATCCCCCCAAGACAGCGCCCCTTACCAGCAGGAAGTAGTTTGGAAAGAAAGATGCCCAAATTCCCAAATACTGTGTACAAATGTTTGTTTTCACTTAATTTGACTTTGTTATATGAAATTAAATAAAATAAAAAAAAGAAATATTTAGTAAATGCTATAAGGTCCTTGCAAAGCTATTAAAATTCCAGGTGTATTTATTAAACATATTTCCCTATAACTATTGAATCTAATGTTTGTGTTTTTGTCTAATGTGCTATATTATTATTTCAAATGATTCATCCCTTTTCACTTCATTCTTTGTTCACAGCCATTAGTTTTGACAATGCTGATTTGCCTTCACTGTAGAAATTTTCTTATTAAATAATGAACATTTTGTAAAGAGGTTAAACATGACCAAGTTAATGAACTGTGGAAACACCAATCCCTCCACATGTGGTGCATCTTTTGAACATAGACAGAAAGAGTTTGCAGTGTGCCTATCCCAGTCCTCCACCTCTGCCATGTATTACCTATGTACCCTAGGCTACCATCTGTAAAACAGGAATGGGAATGATTAAGAACATGTCTTCATGGTTGCTATTGCATCAAAATAGATCACACATATGTAAACAGTTTCTCAGAAAATAGAAAAATAGTACCCAAAGTAAACATTCTTTCTTTCTCTGTATTGCTTTGGAGCCTGTCCTGGAACTAGCTCTGTAGACTAGACTGACTAGACTGGCCTCAAACTCATAAAGATCTGCTTGTCTCTGCTTCCTAAGTGCTGGGATTAAAGACACGGGCCACCAACACCCAGCTAAACATAATTTCTTATTGTTGATTAATACTTAAGGGCTTTAAGATGGTTCTCCTAGCTGGTAAATGTACTTGCTGCCAAGCCTGACAACATGTGTTTGATTCCTGGAATCCACATTGAAAGAAAAAGCAGACTTCTACAACCTGTCTTCTGATTTTCACACCCACTCTGTGATATGCATGCATGTGTAAACACACTACAAGTGTGTGTGTGTGTGTGTGTGTGTGATTTACATTGTGCAGAACACAGGAACCTTGTTAGTAGAATCTGTTACGAAGACAAAGGATTAATTCTCTATATGTAATGATTAATCTTAAAACTAACAGTCATACTATCGCAGCAATGAAATGGGAATTGGGCAGAAAATCTCAACCTTAGTGTTGGAGCCAGTGGTAATTGCTAGTTTCTGGGAGTGGGACAGAAAGTTTTCTATAGAAGTGTAGCCTCTGCTCACTGCACCATGATACACATCCAAGAATATTTGAGCAATACAAATTGTTCTAGATAGGTTAAAAAGAATATATTGTGCAGATGAGAGGGGAAGAATGGGGGGGGGGAGTGGTCATAAAAAAAAACACTGTAGGAAAATCACAAAGAATGAAATTTAAAACTCTACAGGACAAACAAAATATTTTTAATTAAAAAAGTATTTCTGCAAAAAAACAATAAACCCACAACTATCTCCTTGAATTTTTCATTTTGTTTAAATTTTAACGTTTTACATGAAAATATTTACATGGCATAATTAATGGTGATAAAAGTGTGAATATGAATAAAATGATGTGGGCAACATGGGTTCCAGTGTGAAGAATCATAACTATTTTTCCATTTAGATCCTTTTTCTCCCACATTACATAGTACAGATGACCTGAGGTGTTATGATGGAGGAGCATTAGAATGTCTCCCTCAGGTCTTGGCCAAGAAACCCTTGACAGAGCAACCAATAACCATGCAATTTATTTCAGGTTGTCAGATAATATATTTTGTAAACTAATTAAAATAATAAAAAATAATTAACCAACATTAATGTTTGCATTGACATTGCTACTAATTTATTGACAATATTGAGCATATTTATTTACCTTTTTATTTATATATTTATTTAACATCCCAAATTTTAGATTTTGGATTCCCCTACCTCTTCTCTTCCCATTCCCTCTCCCTCATCTTATCTTTGACTCCCCTTCTAATCCACTCTTCCTTTGTTTCATTCAGAAAAGAGCAGACCACCCATAGATTAAAAAAATGCATCATTGCATAACAAGTTGCAGTAAGACTAAGCACCTCCCATTGTATTAAGGCTGGGCAAGGCAACCAAGTAGAAAGAAGACTAGGTTCTCAAAAGCCAGTCAACATGTTAGTGACAGCCCCTGATCCCACTGTTAGAAGTTCTGCAGGAAGGCTGAGCTACCCAAATGTCATTTTTATGAAGAGGTTCTGAATAAATTCCATGTGGGCTCTCTAGCTGTAGTTTTAGACTGAGATCCTAAGAACCCAGGTTAGTTGACACTGTGAATTTTCTTGTAATGTTCTTGACCTCTCTGGCTCCTACAATCATTCCTCCTCTTCTTCCATAGGATTCCCCAAGCTGGGCACAATGCATGGGTGTGGTTCTACATCTGTTTCTGTCACTTGCTGGATGAAGCCTCTCTGATGACAATTAGACTAGGCAACAATCTATAAGTAGAACATCATTAGACATCATTATATTCATTTTTTTCTCCAGTCAAGTTTGGTTCAATCTTGGGTCTCTAGGCCATTCAGGCTCTGGGTCCTGACACTCCAAGTCATATCAGGGGCAGGCTCATTCTCATTGCATGGGTCTCAGGTCATTGGTTGGCCACCCTCACAATCTCTGTATCACCTTGGAACAAGTTAGGCAGGACAGGATGTAGATTGAAGGTTGTGTGGCTGGGTTGGTGTCTCAATTCCTCCACTGGAAGTCTTGCATGGTTATTGGAGATGGCTAGTTCAGGCTATATATCTACTGTTGCTACAATTATTAGCTATGGTTGTCCCTGTTGATTCCTGGGAGTTTTTCTTGACCCAGGATTTTGTCTGACAATGAAATGTATGCCCCTCTTACTAGTCATGCCCTTTGAAAATCTCCTCCTCCATGCCCTATCCATCCTAATTGCTGATGTTCATTTGTCCATCTGTCTCCATACCCCCATGAAATCTAATCTATTTGCCCTTCCTGTGGAGATCTAAGTGCCTGCTACCCTCCTTAGGCTTTCTTGTTACCTAGAATTCCTAGGTATGTGGTTTGTAGTATGGTTATCCTTTACTTTAAAGCTAATAGCCATTTTTTTAGTGAACACATATCATGTTTTTCTTTCTGTGTCTGAGTTCTTTACTCGGGGTGATTTTTTTTCTAGTTCCATCCACTTGCCTTCAAATTATACAACATCATTGTTTTTAACAGCTGAGTAATAATCCATTGTGTAAATGTACCACAATTTATTTATCAATTCTTCAGTTGAGTGACATCAAGGTTATTTCCAGGTTCTGGCTATTTAGAATAAAGCTGTTATGAACAGAGTTGAGCAAGTGTTCTTCTGGTATGATTGAGCCTCTATGTGTATATGTCAAAGAGTGCTTTAGCTGGGTCTTGAGTTGTGTTGATTCCAAATTATCTGAGAAAGCACCAATTTATTTCCAAAGTATCTGTACAAGTTGGCATTCCCACCAGCAATGGAGAAATATCCCCCTCACTCCGCATCCTTGCAAGAATGAACTGTCTCTTCAGTTTTGATGTTAGTTATTCTGACAGATGTAAGATAGAATCTCAGAGTCATTTTGACTTGCTTTTCCCTGATGGCTAAGAATATTTAAGTGTGTCTCAGCCATTTGAGATTCTCTGTTTAGAATTCTGTTTAAGTCTACACCTCATTTCTCTTTGGTTTATTTAGTTTTTTGACATCTGATTTCTGGAGGTCTTTTTATATTTTGGAAAGCAGCCCTCTGTCAGATATGGTGTTTGTGAAAATTTTTTTCTATTTGGTAGACTTCTGTTTTGTCCCATTGACAGTGTTCATTGCCTTGGGGAAGATTTTCAGTTATTTGAGGTCACATTTATTAACTTTCAATCTTAGTGACCAGGATAGTGGTGTTTTGTTCAGGAAATTGTCTCCTGTGCCAATGCCTTCAAGTATATTCACCCTACTTCTATTAGGTTCCGTGTATCTGGGTTTATGTTGAAGTCTTTGAAACAATTGGAATTGAGTTTTATGCAGGATGATAGATATGGATTCAACCGTATTCTACATGACAACATCCGCTTATACCAGTACCATTTGTTGAATATGCTTTCTTTGTCTCATGGTATAATTTTGGCTTGTTTGTCAAAGATCAGATGTCCATGGATTGTGTATTTACCTCTGGGTCATTAATCCAAGCTCATTGATCCACCTATCTGTTTTCATGACAATACCTTGAGGTTTTTACTACTATATATATAATATATATATATTATATATAATAAACTAATTTAAAATAACAAAAATAATTAACCAACATTAACGTTTATACTGTTGTTAATTTAATGACATTGTTGATCCCATATTCATTTATCTGGTTTTGTTATTTTGTATTGCAGATTGAGAAGAGTCTTCTTGCATACAAGGCACATTCCAGCACTCAAAGTAATATATTCACACACATTTTTCATAAGATTAAACTGACATTTCCAAATTTGATTTTTCATGATCTGCTTCTCTTACCTTTCTTCTTCAGTGTTCCAAAGCTCCTCACAATTTCATGAACAACAGCTGCTCCACTCTGAGGGTCAATACCACCAAAGACCCAGGCATCTCTGTGACCTCCAAGAATGACATATCTGTCTAGACATCAGCAGAGCAAGGGTCACAACCAGAGCAGATTGCAAATGACTTAAAAACATTCACAAGTCAAAGCAAAAATACAACTTTCCAAAAGCTAAGATTGTTTGCTCAGATTTCAATATTGGTTTTATCTATCAGATGAAATTATGAATGTGATTTAAAAACTAATTCAATGTATTATTGAAGTAATAATATATATAATAGGAAAATAGGAAACTATGTCCATATACCTCCTTAAAATTATCTAATATCTGTTGCCACTTTGTGACCATCATTTTCATTATGTTCCAATAAATAGGTATTCTACTTCTATGAAACTTTCTGTATACTATAGGAAGAGGAAGCTGCTTGAGCTGCAAATCTTGGGAGCAGTCTTTTCATATTGAATAGATATGTATTGTCCTTAAATGTTTGACTCTTCTTTTAAATCATTATCTTGTCCTTAATTTACATTTGTTTCAAAGCTCTCAATTCCAAAGGTTACCACAGTCCCTGGCCAAAGTAATCATCTAATAAGATTCAATAACTCCCCTGTGTGTGTATCCATATGTATATGCAGTCTATTACTTACAAGCCTTAATTTTATAAAACTCTTCATTCTTAAAAAGAAGCATATGTCTATTCATAGCATAGTATAACACATAATAGATATTTCAGCACTTGGGAGGAGATTACATAAAATTGAGCCTAAATCTAGCATATACTATCTCAGAAAAAGAAACAAGCAATGCTTTTGTAAGAAATATATTCAATTTAATTATACTATTTATGTTAAAAATAATAATCAATGAAATCCTTAGGAATTAAACCTAAGTTTAAAAAAATCAAAAGATTTAATAAAATATGTGTAATTCTCCAATTGAGCTCACAATGTATATAAACCACGCTTAAGGGAGGCCCCATGCCTGGCAGTAAATGACCAACAGAAAATAAACTTGCTGGTACTTTTTAGATTGTTTTGTTTCATATTGCTTTGTTTGGACATTTCTTAAACTTTTGTAATGTTCCTTTATATATTATGCTTTCTTGTTTTGTATTTTTGTGTGTGTGTGTGTGTGTGTGTGTGTGTGTGTGTGTGTATGTGTGTGTGTATGGGTGTGTGTTTGTGAATATGTGTGTATCTACTCATGTATGTGTGTATATACTACTCATGCTTCTTTATTTTCTTTTTACTGTTTATATTATGTTATTCCCCTTTTAATTTGTTTCTTTGTTTGCATGCTTGTTTTCTAAAGGAAGAAAGAAAGAAAGAAATGAAATTGTATGGAAAGGAAGGTGGGGAGAATCTGGCAGGAAATGAGAAATGGGAAATGTGATTAGAATATATTGTATAAATTATTTTTCAACAAATAAAAAAGTGCAGATTACCATTATTGTCCATCCTCAAATATTAATGTTCCTTTTCTTGAAACATACAGTAATGTACTATACCCAAAATGTCTTACTTTGTTTTTTAATGAGCTTCAGTAAGGCAACAACTTGAATTATTAGTTTATCTTGCACCTAGAGTATTAGTGGTACATAATATTTGATTCTCCAATACATACCAAACAAATGCTCCATTTACCTGGTTCAATAGCTCCTTTGAATGTGCCAATTACATTATAGATTCTTGTCACTTTACTGTAGGAGTGTATGTGCAGCTTGACTTTTCTAACTCAAAGACAAAGAACACATTCTTTGAGAATAGTTTTTAAAGATTTAACGACCACACTTTTTAACTTTATCATCATGATTTTAAAAGATTTCTAGTTGTACATAGGATAAAAGTAACATTTGCTAACTTTAGTGATATAAAACCATTGTCCTGCTCAACTGTACTGACTAGGCTTTATTTGTTTTTGATCTTCTATGAATGTCTCATTCTAAAACCCCCTGTTTAAAATGAGTATAATAATAACTTAACTGTTTTGAAAAGTTTCCAGCAAAGCCAGGTCCCACGTTGTAAGGCACATTGAGCCCTCCCTTCCAGCCCCTGTCAGGTGGTGATGGTCCACCCATGTGTCTGTTGGCCATTAAAAATAAAAAGTATTGGTTCAATAAAATTTAATGTAGCAAGTTAAAATACCAAGTAGTCCACTGTCTAGGGCATCTTCTCATAAGAGTTTCTATGAATAACAGAGCAAAATGCTTTTCATGTAATACCCATTGACCCATTCTGCCACTCCTGAAAGGCAGTGACCACTATCAATTCTAATTTGCAGATGAGTAACTTGAAGATAAAGTGAACTCATGGCAATGGACAAAGTTATGGTAATAAGAGATACAGTCGGCATTCTAATTATATACAAGTATCCAAAGAATGTGTTAATAATTGTGTAAAGATAAACCACGTGTATCTTGCATTTTCTTTTGTTGTGCTGTTTTCTTTGTTTTATTCTTGATTTTTGTAATTGACCTATCTGTTTTCTAAAAAAAGAAATCCTCTTCAACTCCCTACATACCTGCAAGTAAAACAACTGTAGGCATAAGATTTAAAAATCTTACAAATAAAATAAAAATATATCTCTGGACATAATTTGGCAGCTCTATCAAGAAACTGTGACTGTAGGCAGGAGACCTACAGAAAATTAAGTCAGAGGAGATGGAAGTTTAAAGTTGTGAGAAGGTCAGAGTGCCCTATTATCAGGACTGTTGTAATTGATCTCTAGGAAAGGTAGAGTTAGTTTTCTTTAGGAATGTATCTCCAGAGAGGCTATGTGTGTTCTTACAATCTATGAACATACTAAAAGCCCTAATTGAACTTCAGGCATTTAAAGAAGAAAAGAAAAGAAAAGATGCAGTTTGGAAGGTATAGTGGTGGTGGGATACGGGAGGACCTGGATAGGAATGAATGGGAGGTGGATTTCACCAAAACAAAGTATATAGATAGATGAAATTCTCAGTCTATGAAAAAAAATCATTAAGATTATCTCTTCCTAGAAATATTAAAGAGTGTAATCTGTTTTTAAAATTCTGTGAAAAAAGTTAATCTGCCCTCTTTTTCCCTATCTCATTAGTTTTGATAATAGACAGAATTTCAGAAAATGCACTACAAAATGTATATAATGTATTTTTCACTACCAAAAAAAACATTAAATGTGTGAGGAGATGTCTTGGTTAGTAAACACTGCTGGAAAAGCATAAGAATGTGCATTTGAACTTGTAGAGATGCTAAGAAAGCTGAGTGAAATGACATGCCAATATCCTAAGTAATGTGAGAGAGTGAAACAAGTGAGTCCTGGGACATGGTGGTAAGGAGTATAGACCAAGAACAAATGATAGATGAAGCTGTTGCAGACATTTATCCCTAACTTCCCCTCTTCCCTAGATCTACTCCTCAATTTTCCTTCAGAAAAGAGCAGACTTCTCAGAGATACCAACCAAACACTTTATATCAAGATACAGTAACACTAGGGACATAACATCATATCAAGGCTGGACAAAGTAACACAGTAGGAGGGAAAGATTCTCAAAAGCAGGCAAAATAGTCAGACATAGTCCCAATTCCCACTGTTAGGAGATCTTTATCAAAGTATATCAGTTATATTAATGTGACTCAAAACTGTACACCACAGAAATGAAGACTATATTGGCAAGAAATACACACACACAGTTTTCCATAGCTGCTTTTTTCATAAAAACAAAGACAAGGAACAACCTTAGTTGTCCTTCAAATAGTCAATGTTTAAACAAACTGCAGTATCATCATGTGATGGAAGACTTTAGTAATACAAAAAAAAAAAAAAAAAGAAGGAACTTCATGCACAAAACAGCCCACTTAGAAGGTTGCAATTTTTTAATCAAATAATGATCCTACCTCAGTTAGGACAGTTAATACTTATCTTTTTCTATCCAGTCCAAAGAATTAGCAGTTTTGACTAAGTAATACATCTCATCCTAAGGAATTCTGTCCATTTTCTTTCTAATTACAAGGAACATATAGGGTCTTAATAGGTTTTATAACTGCAATAATAAGATATATTGTTTTTTAAAATCTACTTTTCAATTTAATGCATCACAAAAATATTCCACATTATTAAATATTCTTGCCTAATATTATTCTGTATTTTATTGCTTTATATGGTATCATAACTAATGATGCTTGATGGGATTGAAAGTTTTCATTATTTAAATCATTTCACTATCACAAGTAATCTTATAATAATATTTATCTTTAATATAAATGTTTTGATTTAAGTTTTCAATACATTTACCTAAATACATGTTCCATGGTGCTTGTAAAGGTTGTCCCACAAACTTAATCATAGCCCAAGTGGCAAAGCTAATAGCCCAAACCTAAAAATCTGCCATTATGGGGGCCTAGTCCCTACTCCAAATGACTTGACAGATTTAGATGACCCCTCCTGGAAGGTATCATCCTACATGTGGAGTGGCTGGGGGTGGGATGGAAGGGTGTTCGGGGGGGCATGGGAGGGTGGGAGAGAGGTAGGGAGGGAAAGAAAGGGAACTGGGATAGATATGTAAAATAAGAAAAATAAATTTAAAAAAAAATCTGTCCTTAGATTGTACACATAGCTCTGATTTCTGGATATAGGGACCCTCACTTGTGAAACTGTTAAACTATCTCATGAAAAGATTTCTTATTGATGTGACAAATAAATGATTAAGAATGCTTTAAGGCTAGGCATGATGAGCACCCTTGTATTTCCAGGACCTGAGAGGCTCAGCCAGGATTACTGACAAGATGCTTTGATTCTTTCAACTTCATTTTCATAGAAATTCCTTTCGTTTCTTTTAAAGGGAACTGAACCATGAAAGGCAAGCAGAAGGAAGAGACTCAGACAGGAAATGGGAAAGCTTAAGAATGAATGCCGAAAAAAAAATTAATGAATGCAGAAATGGAACATAAATACAGATTAAAAATGATTAAAAATTGAACACTTGTGACTTTTATATTATTATTCTGTTCTTCAAAGGAGTAGAAGTTCAAAAATAAGATTGAAAAGATTGATTATTAAGAGATATATTGAAAAGGGGCTGGGGAGAAAGAGGAGGTGGAAGCTAGAGAATGTTAGGAAAGTAATAATAAACTAGTTGCCATTCTGACACAAGGTAAAGGTTAAAGGGAGAGAAGAAAATGAAAGATGAAATGACAGTATGACATTTAATTGGCCAAGCTTTGCCTCTAATGAGTACTATGTGTCTTGAAAAAGCCTATCTTATCATCCTTGTCACAACTGACCACTACCTGCCTTTGGGAAACAGGAATGTGTCACAAATAGGTAAGTGGGGCTCTCAACAACATGGTTCCAGGAATTATCAAAAATTTGCCCTACAGCTGAAATCCATAATGATAATTTTCATGCCTGTCATACATTGAATATCCAAACACAAAATAAATTTCTGAATCAGAACTAGAATTCTTTAAAATTACATAAGCATTGTACATTGTATCCATACAGAGAACAAAGTACCAAAATTAAAGATTAAAGTAAAACATTTGAATATTTTCAAGAATGAGAAATAACAAAACATGATTATTTTATTTTCTCTGTCAAACTTACTCTAGAAGCTTCTGTGCATCATCATATCCAATTGGATGGACAGGTATACTTGGGAGTCCTACAGCCTCTGTCAACTCATGCCTATAAGCATATTCTGATGAATAGAAAGAGTATTTGTCACTAAAAAGTCTTTTTCAAGTGGATTTCTGCAAATAAGATTAAGCACATTCTTTCATATATTTTAGAAATGGTAAAATTCCAAATGTCAAAAAATATGGAGAAACTGAAATTCTTACATAAGCTTGTGAGGACATGAAGTCACTTAATGATCTAGAGTAACTCTCTTAAAAATGCCAAACACAAAAGTGCTTTTTTTCAGCATTTCCATTTCTACTTATTGACCCAAGAAAAAAAGGTGAGAGAGGGAGTATAAGTAGGGACAGATAAAACCAAGAACCTTTTGAGGAGCTGTGTAGAAACTTAACACTGTAGAAGACTCTTAAAATATATAGGTAATGAAAAAAATCTAAGTGGAATAAACCAATAATGGTAGAAAGCCCCAGTTAGATATCTCTCATCATCAGTGCTGGGAATGGGTTACACCTAATTGAGTTGTTAACCAAACAAGCCCCCATGGAAACCTCCAAACAACAGGGACTATTGTCATGACTATTAGTTGTTCTCCCTAAACTGGTGATAAGGCCCTATTGCTGAAAACATCATCTACAAGACTAGCTGTACATGAAGAAGTTAAGTTGGAGACCATAGAGCCTTCACTCTTTCAGATTAGTTTTCATGGTACTCAAAGTTACAACACATGAAGAAAGATAAACACTGACCCAACAATAGAAGCCCTTCAATCTAAAATAATAAATGACTTGATGCAAGGTGAGCTAGTGAAATAGAGGCACAAAGCTTGTGTGAGAAACAAAACAATATCTGAATGGACTTAAAACCCACTTGATAAATTGGAACCCATCCCTGATACTACCCATTTGGCGGCCAAGAACCTGAAGTTGGATAGGCCAGGGACCTAAAGGAAAACCAAACACTACTTTTCTGCTACAGAAAATGCACCAATAAAATGATTCCTAATGACATTCTTCTATACTCATAGATAAGTGCCTTGCACAAACATCATCAGAGAAGCTTCTTTCTATAGCAGATGGGAACAAAAGCAAAGACCCACAATGGGAAAATGTTCAGAGAGTGAGAGACCTTGGAACATTCAATCCTAACATGGATGTCTCCATCATATCCCTTCCTTTAGGGGTCAGAAAACCCGAGTCTGACATTCTGAGTAAGAAAAGACCATATAGAAATACATATATTAGATATTAGTAATTATGGGTTAATAATATTATACAGAGCTAGCCAATAACACTGGCCAACAGCAATATATTAATGCGGCATCTCCATGTGTTTTGAGGGATAATGTGGCTGTGGGACCAGGATGGTGGGAAAATGCTTGTAACAAATTGGTGCTTGCAACATGGGTACTAAGAACTTCCACTTAAACCTTGAAAAAGCTGAAAAAGGAATTTTATAAACAAAAGAGCAGAAACAAGCAAGGTTTCTTGGTAGCAGTGTTTTTCTCAGGTGGGCTCTGTTTTGCTACAGACAAGCAGAGACTTGTGCAACTCCTTTAAGGGAGTCTTCCTGACTTGACTAAGTAGCAAAAATTTTCAGGGCTCTTTCAAGAGGCCCTGTTACCAAAAAAAGAATGTTTTTTATGTGTAGCTGGCAATGGTAGTGACCACATCTTCAAGCTGACAGCATGCTGCTGGATGGTGGCCTAGACCAAGGCAATGAGCACAGCTCTCAGTGCTAGTGGTAAACATACTCCTGACATCTTGGAAATCCAGAAGCTGAAACAGCCACTGCTTTAATTTTAGCAATGCTGTATAGCAGATACAAGACTTGTGCCTAGAAAACAGGTAGAGATATACAGTAAAGACAAATTCAGATGAAGTAAAACCTAAAAGGTTTTCACAGTGTGTTTAAAAATATACATAGGCTGGGGAGAGAAAATAAAAAGAATATTTGGTTAAAAAAGAAATAAAGTGACTGGGCAGTGGTGACACAGGCCTTTAATCCCAGCACTCAGGTGGCAGAGGAAAACAGATCTCTGTGATTTCAAGGCGAACCTAGTGAACAGTGTGAATTTCAGGGCAGAAAAAATTCACAGTGAAAACCTGTCTCAGAAAAAATAATAACAAAAGGAAAAGAAAGAGAATAATAAAAAACGTTTAAAAAAATGAAAAATACACAGAGAGTCTGGATACTCTGTGCTATTGTGTTATCTTTCAATTGTTTGAGTACTGAGGAAACAGCAACAACTGCAAAAAGAAATGCTTCTGGGTTAATCCAATTTATATATTTCAAAAATGCTTTGACTTCAGAATTTAAGTCTAAGGACAGGTTACAGGAAAAATAATTTCTTTTTTTGTTCCTACAGAAAATAAAAGGCTGTGGATCCCTTCCAGACTAATGTGGTTTGCAAGAAAGACCACCTGAAACAGTATCACAGGTTATCCAACATTCAAAACATCTGAGAAAAGGCAGCCTTGCAGACCACTACAGCCAGGATTTCTGCATCTACGTAGGATCCCCATGGTATAACAGCAGGAAGCAGTTTGGAAAGAACGATGCCCAAATTCCCAAATATTGTTTATATTTGTTTTCATTTAAATTGGGGTTGGTTATAAATGGTTAATGAACTAGGATGTATCCCTGGTGCACAAAAGGACTTTGGGAGAATATTCCCCATGGAGGGATACTCCCTTAAACTAGAGGCAGGAGGCTTAGTCCCTACTCGAAATGACTCCACAGATTTTGTTGATCCCTCCTGGAAGGCATCACTCTCCCTGTAGAGTGAGGGGGAGTGGAGTGGTGGTGGGTGGGGGGAATGGGATGAGAGGGTGGTTGGGGGGCATGGGAGGGAGGGAGAGAAGGAGGAAGGGAAAGGGAACTGGGATCAGTATGTTAAATAAGAAAAGATAAAAAATGGTTAATAATCACAGACAATCTCTTTTTAAAGATAAAAGGGGAATGTGGTATAGAAATGAATACTTTGTATTGGAATGGACTTTCAGTTATTGATACAAATACAAAGTCAATTTTGTTATATGTATATTTCTCCTCTTGTTTAGGTATTGTGTTTATATTTATTTAAAATGTAGTGTACAATAAATACAGGTTATTGATAGTTACCTATGATAGTCAAAAAAGTTCAGTTAGTTGGGTTTTCTAGAAATATAGAGATATAGTTTAAATTGATAGGCATTCTTCAAACCTTTCAAAGACCTCCAGAATATGGCATTTAAATGGTTTAGGGTTTGTTTGTTTGTTTGTTTGTTTTCTTGACAATTAGACTCAACTGCTCCTGGAAACACCAACTGGGTCAGAAGGAAAGATGGATATCAAAGAAACTCATTATGGATACATGTATAAAATTTATCTCGATCATGTTCATTGCTGCTCCTTCCAGCTCCCCATTAACCACTACATGCTTTGTTTACCTACTTTATTAAAAACCCACTGAGCCAAAGTAATTCTGCTCATATGTAGATGGGTGTGGTGTCATACCCTGTGGCATAAGAAGCCTAACAATAGCTGCACACTATTAATGTGACTCTACTTTATGGTAGAGTAATATAAAGTGGTTTTAAAGAATAAAAACAGCTATGACAATGCTCTATGTTTTATAGAATGTTTGCAAACCCTCCAAACACATAAGCCTTGTAGAAATGTACAATTTCATGAAGCAGAAATGAAAAATAAATACATAAATGCCGTGGGTACTTTCACAAACTCCATTTTCCAAGTTGGCTCTGTCCCAAGCTTGAAAACTAAATGAACCCATATTTGTTGATATCATCTGATAGTTACATGCATCCAAAACAATTTATGTTTAATTAATATTTAGCTAGGCAGCATTTCAGCAAAAGACAAGAATGTGGACTCTGAGGCCACACTGGGACTTTGAACTCCAGTACCCTGCTTAGTGGTGTGATGATGATGGGCAGACTGCTTGCACCTAGTCTCAATTTCCTCCAAGCAGAGATCAAAATACCACATTGCTGTAAGTTTTCTGAGGCATGCAGAAGACATCATTTAGGAAACATTACTTGATAATCATCATTTAATTTTGCAAAGCAGCAAAATCTGCTGTATCCTTAGTGTACTAATTGGGCTCTCTATCCTTAGTACACTAAACACTTTATGAGACATTTTGCTCTTCTGCTCCTTACTAGAAAAGTAAAAACTGTACTCATGGGAATTGTGAGTTTTGAGTGAATTTCCTTAAGGAGAAATCCCTACCTAAACAAAACTCATGGCCAGAAAAAAAAAAAAAAAAAAGACCTAGAACAGATGTGATGTGAGTCTACTTACATTCCTTTTAGCCCATGTTCACTGCTGACAATCCCATACATTGCTACAAAATTACTTTAAATGCATTCTTGTTATAGGGGTGTATAGTAGATACACCCCTATGTAAGTGTCAGGCATTATATTATACATGAACAATATTATATGCCAATGGATTATATTTTACGTGAACCATATTATATATGCCAATATGTGAAAAAAGAAGTCTGAATTTGAAACCTATTGGGTTCAAGCATTAAAATATGAGGTAAGAAACATAAACCAAAGATTTTCAGAATTTGAAACATTTTATTTCTATGATTCAAAGGAAATGAGAAAATATATATCCTTAGTTTTTTGGAAAAATAATTTGAAACAGTGAGTTTCTTATGATTGTTTGGGTCTGATCACTCACCATTGGCTGGGTAACCTGGTGTGAGGGGATCACCTGCACCATTAAGATTTAAGACATTCCCACGCTGAACACCAGCTCCAGGGAGGTTCCAGCCATCTGGATAGGGCTTCACCCCAGGAACAAAGTAGTCAGCGGGGTCTGAGTACAGAATGATTCCTTTTGCACCTGCCAGTTGAGCATTTTTAACCTAGAAGATATGGTGTTTCTTTTCTCAGTTTAGGTTATGATACTCCAGACTTAGTAATGGCAGAAGCCACAATTACATGAAATGAATACATAAGCTTTCACTTCTATTTTAAAGATCTGGTATCGCTGAGTTTCCAAGGCTGAACTTAAATCCACTCTGTAGCTCAGGAAGGCCTTGAACTTGTAATCTTCCTGCCTTGGCCTCCCAATGGGTTACAGCTATATAACGCTAGGCCTGCATGCTACTACAAAATCTCAAAGGCGATAGGTTTGCAGAGCAGCAAACCTAGAATATTCCCATCACAGTGTGAGCAAGGATTTGCTGTTCACGTTGATTTTCCAGAAGCATAGTAAGCAAGTAGAATCTCCAAGCAAAATTTCTATTAAATCTGTGTCAGGAAGGGAATGTTTGGCTTTTTTCATTACTTGTAACAGTGATCCATATTAAATTTACCTTAGTAAGTCTTTGAAGATAATATTTAAAATAAAATTACTGTAAATTAGCCAGAAACCCAGGGTGATATTTTCATTGTTTTTTTTTAAAAAGACTTATTTATATACTATGTACATAGCATTTTATCTGCATGTTTTCATGCACACCAGAAGAAGGCATCGGATCTCATGTTACATGGCTGTGAGCCACCATGTTTAAGTGCAGTTAATGCTCTTAACCTCTGAGCCATCTCTCCAGCCACTAAGTCAGAGAAACTTGCAGGTACAGAAAAAACAGCTGCATTCACTGTTGTCAATAAAGTAAGAATTTCAAGAAGACAAATCAAAAACACTCTATACATTAGGTGTCTTCCTTGTAAGGTGGGAGTGTATAGAGTCAAGACAATAATAATCTCAAAAAACTTTAAGGAGGTGGTTTAACACATGAAAAGATATATGCAATATTTTAGATTATTGAAAGAGGTAAACTTTAAAAATGTCATCATCACATATGCATCACACAAAATAATCAATTCATTAGAGCAAATTCACACATGAACATTGCATGCTCTGTTTATATTCCTCTTTGTATTAACCTCTTGTTTCTCCCATCACTTTTCCTGGTTCTCTCTTTTTTGCTAATAAATAGGCCACTTCCCTTCCATTTTCATGTGTGATTTTGATCTTGCTGTTTGTATCTTGTTCTGTTTATGAGGGAGAAATGCAGTATTTGTATTATTTAGTTGAGCATGATGATCTCCAGTTCATCTGCAAGAACATCATTCCCATACCTTATTTCCTCTGAACACTTTGCCATATCTGGCTATCACTATCTTTCCAGAACAATTAATCTTCATGTCCCGTTCCAGTTTAAAGAAGTCTTCAGTTCGTGCATAGTTAACATATACTAGATCCCCCTGTTGAGAACAAGAAAAATGTAATAGAAAATGTAGCACATGAAGTATGTATGAATGAGTGATGTTTGACACTGAAAGAGATAAAGATAAAGCAACAACCTCCAAGTGGTCTATGACAGATTAGCCTCAAATGAGAAAAAGGAGATGTTAACTTAACTGAAAAACATAATTAGACAAGTTAAGAGACATATGAGTTAAAAGATAAATTTTCTTTTACCTATCTTTTATTGAGTAACTATAAAATGTAGAAATAGCCCAAATAATTATATCAGTATTTAAATTGCTACATGTAATCTGAAAATATCCAGCCACCATAGGTTGACAAGCCCTTTATGAAAGAGCTTTCTTCTCTTTAGACTGTACAATCAAATAAGAATTTACTGGATCTTCACAAACATCAGAGATGAAAAACTGCCATGTTTGATGGGTTTAGTTCCAGTAATTTGTGTGATCACATGCAAGCATAATGTCATCCCTAAGTCTCAACATTGAATTTATAAAGACATTTTTTTATCCAGTACTTAAACGATTTCTGGAAAGTGATGTAGACATCCATTTATTTTGCACAGGCATCTAAAACAGGTTAATCATACCTTTATGAAACCAAGTGCCTGCAAGGAATATAATTTCCAGCATACTATAAATAACAATATTTCTGAAGCAATGGCATATCTGGTCATTTATATCTGAAGAAGTTTTAAGTACTAACATTTGTTTACTACTTAGCTTCTTCCATTTAAAAAATATATGAACACATATGAACACACACTGAGAATATAACATCATGATATAATATTTAATCAGAATGTACCAGGCTCTAGGCTCAATGTCCAATCCACAAAATATTAATTATGAAAAACCCAAATCTATATATGACTGTATTTTTCTGTAGTTTCACAATTATTTCAATTCCTTAAGGATTAACTTAAAAACCTTTGTAATGGTCTGGTTCTAAGATATACTTTCTAGGTTATTCTTCAGTGAATGATCTGCTTCAAATACAGGGAAGGTCTTTCAAAAGAATGTAAGAGCTTAGGATAGAGACAGGTACTATGAAATGCTATCTCCTGAACACAGTGGATGTTGCATTCAGGAGCTTGGAGATTCAGTGGCTACTATCAGAAGATCAGGCCATGCATGGTTCCTGCATTGATAGGTGCTGCCCCTTCCGTTACTTAGAAGCTATAGGTGGTAATTAATTGGTAGGAGAGAATGAATCATCCTTTAGTGAAGGAGTAGCCACTCGTAGGTTTCCTTATAGGGCAGTAGATGACCTCAACTAACTAGAGTTATCAAACAAGAGAAAATAGGTAAAGAAAGAGAGAAGAGTGAGCAAACAGACTGACTGGGATGAGACAGACACAGGGAGATGAAACTGGTCTGTTCACATTTCTGGATTTTACCAGTTAGTTCTCACTTGGGAGAAACTCACAATTTTTGGGAACTTCTCTCCCTTAAAAATTACAAAATAACAGCTATTTTTGTCATAAAACAAAATGTTCTGGAGAATGGATTGGAGAAAGCATTGGTTTAAAATGTTGCAAACAAAAGTAACCAATAGATTAAAATGGTTTAAAATGTTGCAAACAAAAGTAACCAATAGATTAAAAATGGTTTAAAATGTTGCAAACAAAAGTAACCAGTAGATAACACTCTCTGGGCAATTTGTCCTCTGAGTTGAAAAAGCACTTTGTTTTAGACAATGGCCTTCTTGTATGATTTACACTGAGCTGTTGTTCTATGATTGTGAGTATAATCTGGCCCTTAGCTTGGAATTTTCCTTGATTCTTTTAAGCTTCTGTTGTTCTGCCTTATCAATATAGAAATTTGGGTGAGAAAATCAGCTATTCTCAAAGAATGGTCCTGGAGTGAAGCTGCACAGAGGACCTTATAAGAAGTACCCCTGATCTCTTGGGTATATTCTCAGACCTTCTGAAACTCATGGGCTGGAAACCAGAATCTGTGCTTTGCAAACTCTCCATTTGTGGCATATATTAAAAACCTGAGAAACACTATAGTATGTGTATAGATGTTGTGAAATTGAAAATTTCAAATAGCCTAATGCATGTGTGAGGGTTATATGATCCGCAGGATTTGGACTACATAGACCTATACTGCTTACACATAAGAAGCCAAATAATTAGTAGAAAATTAATACTGTACTGGCTTGGTTACAGATCACCGAGAAAATCAACACAGTCAAGACATGTGCCTTCTATGTGAATCTAAATAGGGATAACATAAAAAATGACACCTTCTATATCACTGCTCAATATTGTAGAAGAATTTAAGAATGCTTGAAAAAAATAAAAATAATGACGTTTACAATTTCTTTATGAGAGGAGAAAAACTATGTAGGCCAGACTGGTCTCAAACTCATAGCAATCCTCCTGCCTCATTCTTCTGAGCTGTCAGGTCACAAGCCTTATCCACCAGGCCTGGGTTGTAATACGTTCCTATGAGTAAAATAATTACATATTTAACGCTATAGTGTATTTCAATGAATTTCTCAATAGAACTACAAACTATCTGTGTGTGGCTATAATTTTCTCTTAATAATATGCTATACCTCTATTTGGAAGCATAATCTGTTTTCACATACAATATTTTAACTGCACAATATATTTCACAGTGCTCTTCAGCTAGCACCCACTAAACTAATACTCTAAGATGTTTAAGTGTATTTTATATTTTTACGGTAATTTTAAACTATATTTCATTGTTACACATGCTATTATCTCATGGTATTTGTCCTTATATTTGACTCTGATATGGCAAATTAATCATATCTTTGAAATGAAGTTTTATTATTTCATATCTTACATGTTATACATCTTGTATGTCATACACATCTGTTTAAAGAGAACTATTATAAATAATATAGATAACTTCTTAAATGTTTGAAGTAAAAATATATAGAATTAATTGACAGAATCAAAATATGGAATTTTTTTCAGAACAGAAGAAAATACAGACAAGAAAGTCAACAATTGTAAACTTCAAAGATATTTGTGATATCTAAAATTTTTAGGGTTGCATGTAATACTTAAAATACCGAAAAACCTGATAAAAAATGTCAGAAATTTTCCAAAAAAGCAAAATGACTATAGTTAGCCATTTGCAAAGTGAAAACACAGATTGGGTGTTGAATATGTATGTTTAGGAATGAATGACCTCATTAGTAATGAAGAAAAACTTGAATTAAAACAAATTAAATTAAAACTATAGGGATATATTTTGAATGCTTATGAAAATTTGAGGGAAGTGGGACATGCACATTATTACAAATGGGTATATAAACTGATACAAATTGGATCTTAGAAAATTCTTTATTTGCTACAACATAGCAGTATCTTTGTTTGATGTACACAGAGAAACACACTAAGACAGTATGATACTGCTGCAAGAAAGGTGGAGTTAGGAACAAATTATGTGTTTGACACTAAAAGAATGAATAGATATTTGTAGCAAGCATGTGTGACAGAACACCACAGCTGACCATTGTAATGAACACTGTAAGTGACCACCATAGTTACCATGACAACAGATCATCACATCACAATGAATAATGTGGCTATTTGTAACTACTACAACTGACCACATTAGTAACAATTATACTTTACCACTACAGCTGACCACAGGAAGACTGTCACACAGCTAATTGTCACAAAATCATTATAACTGATCATTATAACCATTCCACACAGTGTCCACTATGCCTGACCACTGGTGACCACATCCACTGACCAACCCATTTGACCACCAAAGTAACCACCAGAACTATCACAGATGACCAGAATATTGACCACTATGACCTTCTATCACACTGGACGGTACAACTGATCACCACTGAGACCAGCCCAGTGATGAATATTGTTGACCAACATAGTGAACACTACCACTGACCACATCAATGACCACTATGAATTACATCACATTAACAATTATGAGTTGCCATCTTGGTGAACTCTACAACTGACCACCACTATCATTGACTAGAGAGTAGCACAACTGACCACCACTGTGATCTTCTTAGTGGTCAGTATGGTGTCCATGACAGTGAACACTACAAAGACAACGACAATGGCCAGTGTCTTAGTCAGTTGCTTATCTTAGGCATTTTCTTTTGGACATAGTGATGAAAATGCACGTGCACACATACACAAAGAGAGAGAGAGAGAGAGAGAGAGAGAGAGAGAGAGAGAGAGAGAGAGTCCAGAGCAAGGATTTCCTCCTTTATGTGTGAAATTGAGAAGAAGCTTAAAGGAATTTTCTGAACTAATGGCAATACTATATGCATCAAGGATTTTGATTACACAGAAATGTGGATTTGTCAAAAATATGTAAGCTTACACATCTCATTACAGAAAATTTTATTTTTAAAAGCACCATGAACAACAAAAAAAATTGTTAAGTGTGGAAAAGGAATAAATTTGAATTATATAGCAACCCCCTCTTATTTCAGTTAAATTATTGGCTAAATGTATGAGGAAATGGGACTTCTGTCCTTATTTGTAGTGTGCTGTGATACATTGTTACCTCTGGTGTCCCTTGAGGAGAGAAGGCACTGAAGGGTGGCACTACATCTGAGATGTTCTCATACCCTGGAGGTGGCAGTTCAGATAGTGATGTGTTGAAAATCTAGAGAAACAAACAAGATAATCAAGAGTAAATCAGTTAACGTTTATCACAGCAAGGAAGAAAAATGTATCCATCTCTCCTGCCAGGTATCACACTGCTTATACACAGGTGTTTCACAGTAGAATAGAAGAGACTTCATCTCATGAGAATTCCAGAAACAACAACCCAGCTAGACCTGTGCTCCATAGTAGGCTACAAGAGATCTAACTTCATGAGCATCCAAGATAACAACATTCCATATACACAGTTCCTCCATAGTAGGCTAGAAATGATTAAATCACATAGGAGTCCCAAAAAGCAACAGCCCAGATACACAGGTGCTCCACAGTAGGTTAGAAGAGATTCACCCTCTTAAGAGTTCTAGATAGCAACAGCCGAGAAACATAGATGCTACACAATAGTCTAGAAGAGATTTAACTTCTTGAGAGTCCTTACAAAACTCATAAGCACCAGCTTCTATTTAAGGAGAAAATGTCTGCAAACATAATTTAAAGTCCTCAAATGGAAATATAGCTTTGCATAGCAAATGTAATAATTATTATAATAATGTTGGAACAATTTAAATAACAACTTTGCTTTAACAATAAAGTTACACCATTGAGAGATCCATCCACAAAAGTATTCTAATACACTGAACAACAGTCATATTTGAAATAATGAAAAACACTAACCAACATGCATAGTTGTGTATCTACTTAAGTATATCACCATTAAATTACAGAAGCAAAGGCTATTAAGAACATCTTAAAATAGCAAACAAAAATATATGCAACAGGAATTCTGAGAGGTACCACTAAATCAGCACTATAGGGTTAGGTACTGAATATTCCACAATGTCTGTGTTTTAAAGGGTTTGTTGCCAGTGTGTCGGTATCACAAGAAAGTACGAACTCTATGAGATGGGACCTTGTGGGTGATTGCTCAGTGGCAGGTATGACTTTTTTTTTTTAATAACTTATTTTTTTTACTTTTTTATTTATTTTATATAACCAAGTCCATTTAAATGAAAACAAATATTTATAGACAATATTTGGGAATTTGGGCATCGTTCTTTCTAAACTACTTCCTGCTGGTAAGGGGCGCTGTCATGGGGGATTCTAAGAAGGCAGGTACGACTTTAAAGGATTTGTGGCATGCCAGCATCTTCCTCATCATTTGCTTTCTTGTGACATTAGCATTTTGTGCTACCTCTCCCTTCACCATTATCCACTGCCTCACTAAAGGTCCGAAGCAATGGAATCCTTTGAGTATCGACTGAAAACATCAAAACTTTTATAAAAATAAAAGTTATTAACATAATTAACACAAGTAATGAACTCTGACTCTAATATAACAGTCCATTTCTGTTTGTTGGACCTATCAAAGGTTAAGGTCCCATGAAAGGTACACAGACATTAACACAGTCTTCAGGAAATTAATACATACTTCAGGAAAGAAGGTCTTACAGAAGAGTCTTGCATAAAGTAGTCTCCAAAGAACAATATATTTTAGGGTGAAGGATAAACAACACATAAATTGATCCACAGAAAATGGTGATTCAAGATAGAGGAGGAAAAAAGGGCCTCAAAGAACTGGAAACAATATTCCTTTCATCACTTAGATAGTACAAAATGCCCCTAGCTGGGGAATTTATTTTAGAGTAATTTCCAGTTGGTAATACTGCTAGAGTCCCAGCAGAAACTGTCAAGATGCATCATCCTTTAACTTAGACCTTTAAAAGTCCAAATAGTAGAAAGGAAGAACTCAGAACCCCCCCAAAAAAAAAATCACTGAGCACACACAAAATCAAGACTATCATGTGCTACATAACCAGATAGTATCAAAAAACAAAAAGAAATTTTAAAAGAGGCAAAGATAGCAAGCTATAGAAATTATATTAGGAGACAAACTTATAGACATAATTTATTTCAGCATAGAAATTAAAAACAGTAGAAATATTAAGAGATTAGAAGGATAAAATAAGGGGGTTCAGAGTACACACAAAGCTCTTAAAGAGGAATGATAGCAACACAGCAAAATAGTTAAATTTTAAACAATATGCTAAAACTGATAAAGTATTACATGAGATTAAGGTCATCCAAAAAGTTCTGTCCAAAATACAATAATTGTATGTCCTGTCTATCAGAGTATAACTTCAACACTCAGTATAGTACTTAACTGTAACACAAAATATAAAAACCCAGAGACACATATTGGGGTTCAAGCTGAAGATCAGAAAAGCAAAGCAGCCAAGCCAATTACCTCTATCAAGCTGAAATAGCAATTCTATTTCCACAAATCCTCAGAGACAATGCTCTCCACGAATCCTCAAAGGCAAATGCAGACTGCTCTGCTCTCCACTAAACCTCAGACTACAATCCTGTCAGTTCCTGTCTCCTGCCTTATTTATATTCTTCTTTCCACCCAGCCATATCACTCCTGTCTCCATCTCCCTACAGCTGGGTTTAAAATCATGTGATCCCATGTGCTGACATTCAATTATGTTAGCTGTTTATCTATTAGGGAGGATCAATTTCATGTAGCTCAGTGTGGCCTTGAAACAACAGACATCTGTCTGCCTCTGTCTCCTGAGACCTGGGATTAGAAGTGTGTACCACTACCACCTGGCCTCTGTGGCTAGCTAGTGTGGCTGCTGAGATTAAAGGTGTGTATCACCACTGTCTGGATCTCTGGGTTTAATTAGCTTTATTAAATTATAAAAATATATCACCACATTTAGCTATCACATTAATCTTTATGTGATTAGTAAACACAGAAGGAAGTAATATGAAGAAGATATTTCAGATTTACATGACCTCTCCTGGATGCCATTGCCCTACATGTGGAATTGGGGTGGGGGGATGCGAGGGGAGAGTGGTCAGGGTGCATGTGACGGGGGTGAGGGGGTAAAAGGGAGGGAGGAAGGGAAGGAGAGGGAACTGGGATCACCATGTAAAATAAAAAATAATAATAATAATAATAATAAAACTAGATATCACCAACAACAACAAAAAAAAAAAGAAGGGATTTCAACCAAATAATGATGACAAAAACTACTAAACCAGTATGAAGATGAAGTCCCGAAACTAAGTATGCATTTTTGCCAAAGAAACAGAACATTAATATAAACTAACAATACTACTTTCTAAGAGAAGGCTTAGTTGGATTTTTATTGTTGTGCTAAAACACCATGATCAAAAGCAACTTAGAATAAAAGAATTTATTTCAGTTTACAGTTTATATTCCACCACTGAAGTCCAGGCTGTAAGTCAAGGCAGGGACCAGGAAGAAGACACTGAATCAAAAGTCATGAAGAACTCTATTTAATGACTTATTCCTCACAGCTTGTTCAGCCTGATTTATTATATAACCAGGATCACCATCCCAGTAGTGACATGCCCACAGGGGGTTGAAAGTCACATCAACCACTAATCAAGACAGTACCTCAAAGAGTTGTGTGCAGGCCAATTCTACAGAAGCATTTTCCTCAGATAACATTCCCTATTCCAGATATGTCAATATTTCTGTCAAGTAGACAAAAAATTAGCACAATCCTTTCCCTATAAACCATATTACCTTTTCACAATGTGTATTTTTTACATTGCATTAAACCTGCCAATGAAATCAAACATAAAAATTGTAAGCCAAGTGTAGTAATGCAATATCAGCACAATGGAGGGTGAGAAAGAGGATTGCAAATTCTAGGCTAGCAAGAAGCTCTCTAAAAGAATGAACAAATAAACAAGAAACTAATATAAGAAGAAAAGATGTAAGTTGGAAAGTAATTAAACATTGGTGATTACTGAAATACCTCTTATCCAAACTTGTGAGAGTTAACTGAAGCAGTTGTGATCTACTAAACACTGGATATCAGTAAATTGAGAATTCTTTAGAAGATGCTATAAGGAATTGCAAAGTCAACACAAATACAGTAATAAAAGAAACCTTAAGTAAGCACATAATTAATAAAACATGAAGTTAAGCTATAAAGGATTGCTAAAGACCAAGTTTAGTATCTGAACACATCATCAAAAATGACATAGCTCTGACAAAAGCAATAAGGACAAAATAGTAAAGTCAACATTAGGTTTACCTTTCGCCATCATACAAATTTTGAAGTGTGAAAGTACATAAAAAATAATGGAGGAAAAATTTTGAAATTTAGGTAAAGTAGAAAAAGACATTTTCTTTTATTTTATTCCTTTAAGTTTCTATTTTTGTATCTCATGGTAGTATTATGCCAACAAAATATCTGTGCACCAGCCCATAAATATATCAACAGTAAAAAGTAACTTCTCACTATACCACTGCTGCAATATTTACATTTTTTTAAAACAAAAATTCCAATATGTAATCTTAGGTGGCCTAGAATTCATGAGGTAGCCCACACTGGCCTTAAGTCCAATATTATCTTCCTTAATTGGGTTCCCTTATGCTAGGATTAGAGTGTGACACTATCAAAACTGAATAAACAGTGTGATTAAAAAGGTTTCCCTGATAATGAGATCGACGAATAACTTATCCACCATCACAGAGCTCTCATCTAGTAGCTGATGGAAACAGAAGCAAACACCCACAACTAAACACTGAGACAAAATGGAATCCAGATGCAGAGAGGGAGGACAAGACCATGCTGCAGAAACACATAGAGACAGCTGACCTGAACAAGGAGGAGATAACGGGACCCAGACTGATAGCTGGGAATCCAGCATGGGACTGACTCAGACCCCCTGAACATGGGTCTCAGCTAGAAGGACTGAGCAGTCTAAGGGACCTCAGAAAGTGGAACCAGGATGTATTCCTGTTGCACAAAAGGACCTTGCTGACACATCCCCCATGGAGGGATACTCCCTTAACCTAGAGACAGGAGAGAAGTCCTAGTTCCTACTTCAAATGACTTGACAGATTTACATGTCCCCTCCTGGAAGGCATCACCCTACATGTAGAGTGGGGGGTATGGGGGGGTGAAAGTGGTCAGGCAGAATGGGAGGGTGGGAGAGGGGAAGAGGGAGGGAGGGAGAGGGAGTTGGCATTCATATGTAAAATAAAAATAAATTAATTTAAAAAAAGGTAAAGGTTGATATAAAACATACATATTTCAAAAATATAGCAGTATTATGGCAATCAAAATTATGCTGGTTGCTTTAGTTCTACCGTGCAAATGCATCATGACCAATTGGTTTTCATTTGAGTTTGAAATATTAAAGAATATTAAAGTTGTTCACTATATAGTTTTTCAAAAAAGTTATCACTTAAAAGTTTCATTTTATGTCCTAATACCAGTTTCCCTCTCTCTGTTCCTCCCTTCCCTCCCTTGCTGCCTTCCTTTTCTCTCCCCCCACCATACATCCACTCCTCCATCTCCATTCAGAAAGGGCAGGCCTCCCATGGGGGTCACCAAAGCATGGCACATTATGCTGAGGCAGAAGTAAGCTCTTACCCTTGCATCAAGGCAGGGCAAGAGAGCCAGCATGGGAAATAGGTTCCCAAAAGCAAGCTTAAATGTCAGGGACAGGTCCTGGTCCCACTGCTAGGAGCCCCTGAAACAGACCAAACTATACAACTGTCATACACATTCATGTGGCCTAGGTAAATCACATGAAGGCTCCCTGGCTGTTGGTTCAGAATTGCTGAGCTTCCAAGCATTCAGGTCAGCTATCACTCTGGGTTCCCAGTCATGACCATGATACCCCTGGTTTGCCTCCCTACAATCCCTTCTCCCTCTCTTCAATAGAACCCCCAGAGCTTAGCCCCAGTGGTTGGCTGTGGATCTTTGCATCTGCTTCCATCAATACCAGATGAAGGCTGTCTGATGACAAGTAAGGTAGTCACCAAACTGATTACAGGAGATGGCCAGTTCAGGCTCTCTCTCCACTATTGCTAAGAGTCTAAGCTGGGGTCATTATTGTGGATTCCTGGGAGTTTCCCTAGCACTGGGTTTCTCCCTAATCCAGTCCCCTACTCCATACTGCCTCTAAGCAGCACAACTGGACCCATCCCTCCCCTACTCCCCTCTCCAGTTCATCTGGGAGATCTCTTCAATTTCATTTATTTTTTAATTTTAAGAAATGAGTATGGCTGGAGAGATGGCTCAGAGGTTAAAAGCACTGACTGTTATTACAGAGACCCTGGGTTCAATTCCCAGCAACCACATGGTGGCTCACCATCATCTGTAATGAGGTCTGATGCCCTCTTCTAGCCTGCAGGCATTTATGCAGACAGAATACTGTATATGCAATAAATAAATAAAATTAAAAAAAAAACAAAGCAGAAGAAAGAAATGAGTAATAGTACTTGAACATTGGAGTTAGGCCAGAGTGATAAGCATGGACCTAAATGATCACAACAGCAAAAACCACTAAATGAATCTGAAATAAAAGCAATGCAAAAATGCTACTAATAGAAAATAAGTATCAGAAAAGAATAAGCTCGTAGTTGAACAGTAATTACCCTAGGAAGGGTAACACAAGCAAGAAGCATGGTACACTCTAGAAATGTATGATTAAAGTTAGAATTGTATCATATCAGTGATTTAATATGTGTGTCTATATTTATGTATGTTTATTAAAAGAAAAGACTGGTATATTATTAGTAAGAAAAGTTTAATAACAATTTGAAAAGAAAGCTAGATATGAAAATGTTCTAATTTGTATATAGCTTGAAAAGTGCTATGTATAATAGATATTTCAATTACAATATCTGTTAGAAGCTATAAAGCTATATATATATATATACTCTACTAGATATATTAGTCTGCTCTGGAAAATGTACTAATAGGGGTTAATATTTTAGTTATTGTTTTCATATTGAATGTAGGTATTGATCAGACCAACTTCAACTAACTATATTATAATCTGTGGTGATATTTTGTTTATGGTCTAACAAATAAAGCTTGCCTGAAGATCAGAAAAGCACAGCAGCCAGCCACTAGCTCTTACCTCTGCCTCAGACCAAATGAGTAATCCTATCCTCAGTATGTCTGTAGACTGACTGACTCCAGAATCCTCCCATCTTATACTCCTCTCTAATGCTGGTATTAAAGGCACGTACCACCACCAGCCAGCCTCTATGACTGACTAGTGTGGCTAGCTTTGCACTGTGATCTTCAGGGAAGCTTTACTTGTTATATCATAAACAAAATTCAGGCAAGCTTTATTTGTTATATCATAAACAAAATATCACCATGACAATGTTTGGCAAATATGGACCCTGACTTAACAAATAGGATTGTAATTTCTTTGCTGTAGCTATACTATACCTCCAAATAAAAAGTAACTATAGTGAAGCATTCAGTTACACAAACATCTTCCCCAAATCACACTAATTCAAACACTCTAAGAAATGAACTGACATTGATATGGATACTCTCTAAAGGCAAATCACAAATGTCAATAATATTGAATTTTATAAATATGTGGAGAAGATATTACAGGATTGCAGTGGAAATTTTTTTTCCTTACCTCATTTCCATCTTCATCAATTATTGAGATGTAGTTGGGAAGAGTCTTATTTGGGTAGGACAACAATACATCATAATGGGACAATTCAACTGAATCCAAACCAAATTCTTTCCACTGGGCATGAATTTGCTTTGCAAGCTTAAAATTGTGTTCTGTTCCTGCCAAATGTGGTGTCCTTGTGAAATTACTGGTGAAGAAACATTGAAAATTTTTAAACATTAATGGCTAGTTTGTCTTTATCTCCAAAAAGCACCAAGACAAAACTACTATTGTCATGCCTATAGTGAAAAATATAGTGCAGCAAAAAAACAAGATGCAGAGAATTTTCCATAAAGAAGTTTAAGCCCAAAACCTCTCATTCAACAAGGCCCACAAGAAACCATGAGAGGCAATCATTTTCATGTTTTTCGCTCCACTGTAATTGATGTAGCAATGTATGTATATGCCTACAAATATACCTACAGAGATACAGTTCAATTCATACGTTAAATATTTAATGGCCTGTTTTTATCCAATCACTTCATATTCGTTAGGAAATCCTTCCAGCATTAGAAGGATTTCAAACATTTTGACATATATTATTTTGATTTGTTGAAAATTATAAAGCATTATAAGTGGTTAGATTAACTAAGTATATATTCATGTGTTTTATTTTTAACTTAGTATAAATATAACTGTGAAAACTTCTAACTTTTAGTTTCTTGCCATGTTGAGGATAAAACCCAGGGCATAGTGTATGCTCATGGTAGAACTCTTGCCTAGAATATGAAAGATACAACACTATTAAAACTTATTCATTTATTTCTTTTACTTTAAACTATTTCAATAATAATAGAATTAGTCTTTAAATTTTCAAAATATCTGCTTTCCAACTTCATCCTTATCACAGTAGTATTTTTATCATAATCTCATAGATATGAGAATAAATGCTTAGGAAGATTCCTTATTCACTCATAGTTACTGCCTTATCAATGAGCCAAGATGGAGTTTGAACTAACTTCTGTGAATTCTAAAGTAAATTGTTTCTTGATTAAGACATACTATCTTTCTGAAAGGACACTCAGCAAAGAAAGTTCCTTCATCTAAATGTGGCTACAATGTGGTTTGGTACAGGCAAAGAAGAGCTTTACATTTTAATTATGTGAGAAACATGACAGTATTTTGTAATGCATCAACACATAATCAAATTTCAGTGCACATGAATATAATATTCAGTGCAATGGATACAGAACTGGTACGTGCAGGTTCCTCATACTTCCTATGGCTTCTTTTGTGCTGAAGGATTAAGTTATGACAGATTTTTGCTGGTTTGCAATGGCTGGCCTGTTACATGAAATGTTTGCTGATTCCCACTATGGAAGCTTGCTAATGATATGAAGTTAATGCTGAAGCTATAATCCTCTCCTTATGGAACATAATACAAAATCCTCAATTAACAAAACATTGTGAAAAGCCAAGTTTTTGTAATGAAATGTTGTGTCAAGACATCTGAACAGAACAATGCTTTCTGATATACACCCATATCAACTTTTAAGTATATGCTTACTATAAAAAATTGTTGATGTTCTCAGCCTTCAATTCATGTAAAAATGCCTTCTTCATGCCAGGATGGGAAACAATGTTAGTAGAGTCACTGGAAGATTTTATAAACCACCCTGAAAAATACAAGCAAAATTATGAATGAGATGTGAACTTATGACTCGGTCTTATTTTTATGTCAGACACAGTTAATTATCTTTTGTAGTAAGGATTTTTGGTGTTTTATTTCCCTTGTTTCTTTGGGGAAAAGAACATTTCAGTATACACACACACACATACACACACACATATATATATATGTATATATATATTTAATTGCAAAAACAAGCGTGATATATTTTAAACAGATTTCAATTATGTGTGTTGCTGTTACTTCTCAGAAAAGTTTAATAAGGAAATTCAATTTGGTATTATTGTTTCAACTATTGGAAATAAGATGTTTTGAAAAAGTATTATTTTCTACATTATCTTCTCTTGCCAATAATTGCTTGTTTATTTGTAGAGCTAGAATAACCATTTAACAAATGATTACAATGAAATAATTATGAGTATAATGACTACAGAGATTGCTCAGCAGTTAATTGCATGTACTGTTCTTGCAAGGGACCCAAGTTTGATTCCAAGCACCACCATCTGAATCTGACAGTTCACAATTATGGGTAACAATCTCTGGAGGAAGTGATGCCCTTCTGTGTGGCCACCTGCTCTCACATCTCCTACAAGAACATTCCCACAGATATAAACATTGCAGATAATCAAAAAGGAATCTTAATTATGGTTATATTTCAAGTATATAAACTATCTCAAAGTATTAAAGAACACTCAGACTTTTAGTCTGCTTTGAATTTGAAACTGAAACAAAATATACAAAAAAAAAGTGTTTTTGTTTCCAGTTAAATTAGGTTTGAGAAACTGAAGTTTGGAAACCTACAATAGACTACAATGTACTCCATAGCCTTGTAAGAAATCCAATATACAAAAGCCACAGACAGCTCCTTAGTCCCTGGCCTCATGAGTTTATTTTAATCTGAAGGGATTAGTGCATTACTACAGGGTTTACAGAGTATCTGAACTGGGAATACAAAAGGTTACCCAGCCAACCTTTGAGGAACTTTTCCCGTTTTTGATGACATATGCATAAATACTGAAGCATATAAATATTCACATTGAGGCACATGGTTGTGTACAAAACTGAGGGACCTGAAGGTTAGGGAAGAACACCCTAAGGACAATAGATTAGAACCAAGGTCTGAAAAAAAATATACAGGAACAAGATAGAGTCCTGCAAAGGGGGGGGGGAGGGGTGACACGACAGAACACTAAGACACTAACAAACTGAGTTAGTGAGCAGTAAAACCAAGGCTCACTAACTCAAAGTAACAAAGTAGATAACGATAAATCGTCTTTACGACACTCAGCCTTTTGAATTCTATGCTAGCCTTTCCAAACTTGGTTTCTCACTTTTAAATTAAAATGATGGAAACTCAGTTTAAATCATCTTTCTGAGTAAATATCTCAGTGAAACCCTGCAACATCCATAGATGGTTACTGATATCTTTGTGTTAGTCAATAAATGTTTGTTGTCATTTAAATTGACTTGGTTATATACAATAAATTAAAAAAAAAAAAAAAGATTGGAAGCTACGGCCCAAGGTTACGGAACTGGTCCATAACCTATTTTTACAAATCTGAAAGATGTGACTGAATTCAGAGCAAGGAAGGCCGACTTGGACAACATCTTACACTGGACTGTGTGTTAAAGTCAGAAAGAAGACCTGAGCATTGTTCTAGGAAAGCCCCTCATGCTGCTTCATGTTCTATTGTCTCTAAATTGATCGTATTAGCTTAGTCATAAAGATGGGTAATCAGTGACTTTTTCACTGAGAATTAGTGATACGCATTCGGAATTCATAAGTGTGCTAGCCTGTGCTGCTCAAGTTTTCTTGAAGTGTTGGGCTAACTCTGAACTAAGCTCAAAGACCTCCTACTAAGAGAGTGCTGACTGTAATTAACATTTCCCAGAATGTGCCTCTGTTAGTACCAATGTGAACAGAAGGAGATTCCTTTCACAGCAGTTTCCTGCATGAGGGTTGGGGAGGAATGCCCCAGAAACCGCCTCAGGTACGAGCTAGATGAAACCCCAAGCAGGCAAGCACTCAGTGACAAGCTTACTAACTGATCTGAATCCGCAGCCACTGGGGATTCTGAGCCACTTGGTTTCTTCTGAGAAGTGCAGTGGCATCTGGCAGGGTTCAGTGGCTCAAATTCCGCTCCAGTTCCACTTTTTCGGTTTTGTTTTTTTTTTTTTTTTTTTTTTTTAATCTGACTTTAAGCTATGCAGCTCAATCCTACAAGCAGTTTATGTAAAACTCAGTCAGGTTCAGACGCCAACAAACCATCGGCATTGCTCCTTCCGTCCCCCACCCAAATCAAGACATTCCGGGGAGATCCAAGACAGAGCTGTCTGGTACAGACAGAGCTGCAGAGTGCAGAACCAGTAGGAAAAGGGGCCACTAAGCCGGGATTCTGTGGTTTGCCCCGCAAATGCACCCTACCAAAGACGAAGCCAATGATGAAGATTCCAGAGAAAGCCAGCACCAGTGTCCCTGCGCAGAGCCAGCGCTGGCGGCGTCCCGGACCCAACACAGAGTCGCTGTCCTGCAGTGGGTTCCACATCTCAGCCAACTCTAGTCTTCCTCCTCTGTCAGGTCTCTTTTAGCCCACAGCAGCGCCTCTGCTGGCGAAAATTTCCTCCCACTTCTGAGCTGAGGCAATAGAAGTGCTTCCCAAGACTTTCTCCTCCCCCAGATATTTCTGCCTTACTCTGAACCAACTGGGCTACACAGGAGGAAAAAACAATACCAGTGAGCAAAGATAATGTGCCCAAGTAGCACAGCCTGTATTTCTAAAATAATATGGACTCCCTATTCTTGCTTAATGATCTGTATTAACCACAATAAACCTTGTTTGAGGAATGAGAGTGACTTCATCCTGAAGAACTCACATTTACACACATGAGTGTACACTCTCCTTTCCCTAAGAGCTTTTCTTTCCGTTACTCTGTCCTTTTATCTATGTTAAATTATTTTCCTGATAACCTCCAACTCTCCTTAATTTGTTGGCCTTCTGAAATACACAACACACACCTTATTTTTGGATAGGTAAATAAACTGCAACCTGAATATCACCATTTTTTTCTTAGTGAAGGAGTAATAGATTCAGATAGAGATAGTGAATAGAGAAAAGATGGTTTTACTAACCCTTGGATATCAGCTCTTGTAGAATTTTCTGAATGCTCCCAAAGAATAATAGGAGTTTCTGGCAAGAGCTTGGCAAACAATTTGCATGTGATGAACAGGGGTGAATGACCTGTACAGCAACTTTTGCTGCCAGAACATGAAGAGGTATTCATCTAGAGGCTCTTTTAAAATAATAAAGTAAAATCATGCAAAGTATAAGGAGGACAAGCACATAAGATAGTTTACCCTGGAATTCTGTTTGTTTTTGGTTATGTACAGCACCACACCTTTTGTAATAATGTAATTAGTGTGCTAGTTCCTTCACACCCACATAAAAATGCATATGTACTCCATCCAAACAATGCACATAGAAACCTCAGAACTCCCTCAGTTCCCACCTGTGGCAGACCACATCTTTGAACAGTAGTCTACATTTCCCTGCCCCTAGTAACAATCATGTGTAGACACTTTCTAATAGGTATATTACCAATGTACCTAATTATGGAGAGTAGAAGAGTAGAGCCAGCTTAAGCTAGTTTTTGGAAGAATGCTCTATAAAACAAAATTATGCCCTATTTTATGCATGCAAATGTCTAAAATAAAATATATATTAGGAAGATACACATATAATAGAAAAATACATGACATCATCAATCAGCCAAAATAGAGAACAACTGAAATGATATGTCCTCCCCCATCTTCTTTTAGATTCTGTAAAAAAGATCCCAAGTTATACATTCTAACCTGGGGTACCCTCACTCATATAGCCTGTTGTCATTATTGATGGTCTATTGCTCTATAGTCAGTAATCTGAATAAAGTTAGCTTGATTATTTTGAAAACGTGTGTCAGATCTTATTTTCAGTATTTTGGAGAAGAGATAGCTATGTGGAAATACCGGGCCCAGACACTGACCACCAATAACAAAAATACATAGGTTTAATTCAGTGATTTCCATCTGTAGCAGAAACAAGAGACAGCTCCATGCAGCTATGCAGAGCTGCCTGAGGATTTCCTTAATCCTTCATGGAGTTGAACCCTGGTAAACCTGCGTCTTTGTCTTTTGCACAGAAAAGATACAGTGCAAGGCAGGGCTTGGGCTTATTAAAGGCCATTTTTAAGAGAATAAAGGATCTCTGGAAGAAGGTAACACATACCCCAGCATGGGTGTGGCTTTTCAGAGACTTATAATGCCATTTTTATTTGGTTTTAAGTGTTGCTAACAAATCTAAATGATTTAACAGGGCTGTTTCTGTCATTTGTCTGACAGAATTATTACTGATAAGGTTAAAGCATAAATCAGCAAGATGTAGGAACTTAGAATGACTTCATTGTAAACAAAGTTAATTATCTTGTTTGTGAAATGCCTATGAAGTCTCAGAGTGTGAAATGAGGCCTTTAGGCCTTAGCCTGAGTCATTGTCATTCAATAGTAAACACCTACAACATTCTATGTGAAAAAAATATCCTCTCCACTGACAGCAACCTTCAAAACAAATGTTAATTGGTCAGTAACTTTCAGTTCTCATCTAAGATCTCTTCCTTTCCCTTCTCATCTTCCCATAATATTTGCTGCGTACCCTGCCCCATGAGGAGGGAGATAAAGCACCCATCCTTTAGTAGAAGTGCTCATCTACTTCTTTTATTTGGTCTGAAATCTATTCTTATCACCAAGGACCAAACACTGGCAAGGAACTCACACATGCCCAACCTATTGGTTCAAGCCTTTCTGAGTTGGGTTATCTGACTCTTGGTACTATAATGTTATACATAAAACACTAATTAGTAGGTAATACAATCCCCTTCTGGACATATTTTACATTGACTAAATGGAAATAAAAGGTGGGGGTAATTGTATTAGCTAACCAGTATTTGAGAGTTGGTAAATACACTCTAACTCTTTAGCTGAAATGATTTAAAAGTCTTTTTGAAAAGGGTCTCACTCTCACTGTGTAGCTCTGACTGTCCTGAAACTCACAGAGAACCAACTACCTCTGCCTTCTGAATACTGAGATTAAAGGTGTGTGCTGCATCATCCTGCCTTAAAATGATTTTTCTTTAATAAATCTTGGAATTAGACTTGTAACAGGACTCAGAGACTGGAAGACATAACAGCATACTGTTGTAATATTCATTCTCCAAAATTTTTGCTTTGTGTTTTTAATCTCTAAATTCAGAAAACTTCAGTGGCTCCCAGATAACTATCGAATGAGTCTAAATTCTGGGACAACATACAAAGACTGTCTACAAGTTAGGCTCTTTCCAGCAGCTCTTTCCTTAACTGTCACGTACTCCTGTGCTATGTTCTTACTCTCACTCATTAAACTCACTCATAGAACAAGAATAATATTGTATTCTGTCTAATACAGGTATCAGAAAAGTTAGCATAGGGGTTCAGCCCCTAGAAATGGATCTGTGGATGGAATGTGTTGCATCCTCCTCTTTCAAAGCAAATTCATTAAAAAGAAACTTTTTATCATCAATTTGTTCAGTCTTTTCAAATTGAAGTTCATATATATATATATATATATATATATATATATATATTAGTCACCTTTGTTTAAAACCAATAAATTACATTATGTTCACAACCCTTGAATGAAACCCATTGTCTTGAGGAAAATGAAGAAATACATTTCAAACACAAATTCAAAGGGATGGCATCAGTTGAATTGAAAATTAGGCTATATAAATCTTTGTACACACATTAGTTAAGTAAAAATATTATACTCTGTGGGGTTCATCCCTTAGGAAAAGGGACAAACTAACTCACCTCTCTTATCTCTAGTCTTCAAAAAAGAAACTTGCTTCTGAAAACAGTTTAGCATAATAAAGAAAAATATGTCTATTCCAGAGAGGCTTGGACTTTTTTGTCATTTCTGATTAGAAAACTGGGGAAAGGAACTCTGAGTATGGGGTTAGAGTTTTGCCCAGTTGTTGCTGGTAGAAGACAGTGCCAGCAGGACCTTCAGCTGATTTAGGCACAGGAATGTGTAGATGGCTGCCAGCCCAGGCACTGAGCCTGGAGTCACTGGCAATCAGTGGTGCCAGCTGGTGCTTTTGGCATAGAGTATCCCTGAGTTGTGAAGGATGAGGCCGGGGTCACCAGGAAAACCTATGGGGAAGTAAGGCAAATAAGGACTCTGGTTCACTGGCAAAGAGAGGAGGTATGTTCTTTTCCTTCTAGAATATTCAGAGCTGGTCATTCATCTAGCCCAGTCATTAACCTTATAAATGTCCTTGGGTTGCAGTGATCCTTCTCTGGGCTTTGATTTTTCGGTTGTCCAGTTCTGGTGTCAGGCCTTTCATCCAGTCTCCACATGCCAGGATTGACCTCCCACATGGAAGTTACAGTTGGACCAACTTGAGCTTTAATTGTTTCATGGAAGGCTACTCATAGTGATGGGAGCTCCTCAAGGTCACCGGACCTCCTGGGGATCTAGGTGGTTTTGCTGTGGAGCAGGAATCAGACTCTGAATGGCTGGCTGCCAGGACAACATGTTCATCACAGACTTTTGGACTGCTAGGGTGGTGATGAGGGTACTGATACCAAGGTGATGAACTTGGAAGTAGCCAAGTTTTAAGTTCAGCCCAGCATGCTTAACTAGTTTGTTAAGGACAAACATTAGGAGGAAGATGAGGAGCACACCCACTCATATCTGCAGCACCAGGGAGACAAAGATGAGGACTACTAGATACACAAAGAAGAAGACAGGGACCTGCTAAGGCTCAACCTTGAGGGAGCAAGCCATTCAGCAAGCATTCAGACATGCTTTTCTTGTATAATGGTTCACATTTCTTCTTTTGTGTGTATCTCTGGATGCAGCTTGCCTGTCAAGCACAGGTGCAAGTCAGTTTTGAGCTCCAACTCTTAGGAGCCAAACTCCTAGGTACAACAGCCCCTACCTCCATCCTGGTTCTAAGCTCATCACAGAATCTACCACCACATCTCCAGCTGTATACCTGCAAGAACTAATCTTTGACAGATACAGGTAAATTACTATAATTTTCCCTGGCTTTGTTTTAATTTGTAACCACAATATAAGATAGTTCTATAAATTATGAATCCTAATGACCCAAGAAAACTGATTTAAAAAAATTATAGGGGCATAGATATGTGATAATGTCTTTTATAAAGTTACCTAAATTTCACTTTATTTCAATACTTATTTCTTATTTTCTTTGTGAAAGGGGGTTAAAATAAGGGTGTCTTTACGAAGAAAAATCTAAAACAGCAACATTTTTTTCTAGCTAAGAAGAAAAAACATTTTAAACATATTATAGTAAGTTTATAAGATATTAATAAACATGTATTTCCCACTCATTTTTATTGCTATGTTTTCTAAAAATATATAAAGGCACATAAGAAGTAAAAAGTTAATGTACCATTTTGCACTGCTATCTTTGGCATAGTGTATCTCCTTCCTGAGGTAGGTACCATAATCATTGAGACTTATTT